AGTAATTCAAAAACGACTTGTGAAAGTTATGAAAAAGAACCAGAGCCTTTACTGGATGAGGTACGATCAGCATTACACAGCCTGAAGAAAGGAAAGTCACCAGGTTGCGATAAAATACCAGCAGAACTAATTCAAGCAGGAGGAGAGGCCAGCGTCCGAATCTACCATGCATTGTGCTCAAAGATCTGGAACAGTGGCATTTGGCCTAAAGCGTGGAAAAGAACAATCTATGTCCCTCTCCCAAGGAAAGGAAATCTGAAACTATGCTCCAACTACCGCACCATCGCATTATTAAGTCATGCTAGCAAAATCCTCTAACGAATTATCATGAAGAGGATTGAAAGGAAATTACAATATGAGCTAGATGAAACAAATGCGGGTTTCAGACAGGGTAGAGGAACTAGGGATCACATCTTCATTACGAGAATAATTTTTGAAAAATGCAGAGAACACAACGTAGATCATGCTTGTTTTATTTATTATAGCAAGGCATTTTATTGTGTCCAACACCACAAACTGTGGACTATTATGAAAAGCATGCGGTTTCCAGCGCATTTAGTGCATTTAATCGAAAATCTTTATCATGAACAACAAGCAGCCATCAGGGCAGCTTGTGAAACATCTGATTGGTTAGAGGTGCAAAAGGGAGTGTGGCAGGGGTGCATTCTCTCACCATTCCTATTCGATATATACGCAGAAAATATAATGAGAAATGTCAAAAATGACCAGACTTGAGGCAGTTATGATCTGCTCAAAATTGGTGGTTTCCTATTCCGAACTCCGCTACACAGACGACAGAGTTCTCCTTTCAAACAGCGTAAAGGGAGTGGAAAATTAAATATTGTCTGTCCAAAAGCACAGTGAAAATCAAAATCTGTTCTTGAATTTAAAGAAAACGAAAATAGTGTCCACAGATAAAACTGGCTGTCACCCAAAAATAACAATAAATGATGAAGAAATTGAAAATGTCACAAACTTTGAATATCTTGGCTCTATAATAAACAACAATGGAGGCTGTTCGACAGAAATTAAAAAGAGGATGACCATAGCAATGCAAAGATTGAACAGCCTTAAAAGTCTTAAGCACCAGCAAGGAGATAACAATTAGAATTTTGAGAGCATGCATCTTGCCTGTGGCTACATACGGATGTGAGTCGTGGACTATCTCTCAGTCCTTAAGAAAGGGAATAGGGGATTTTGAGCTGAAATGCTATAGAAAGATTCCTAGAATATCATGGACAAAGAAGAGGAGAAATATTGACATCTTAAAAGATCTGGACATCAAGGAAGATTGGCTAATAAACAGCATCCTTTCTCGGAAGCAGAAATATTTTAGACGTATCAAGCGCCACGACTACTGGAAAAAATTATAGCAGAAGGCATAGTACCAGGAAGGAGGGGCAGGGGCCGACCGACACAAAGATGGACACAGGATATAAGTGACTCCTTGAGTGTGAAAGTTCATGAGGCGGGAGAACTGGCAAGAGACCGAGCTCCTTACAGACAGACTGTGATGAGAGCGACGTTCTGCAAAGGACCTGCTCCATGATGATGACGAGCAAGGCATTTGATTGTGTCCAACACCATAAACTGTGGACTATTATGAAAAGTATGGGGTTTAGATCTCATTTAGTGCATTTAATTGAAAATCTTTATCATGAACAACAAGCAGCCATCAGAACAGCTGGTGAAACATCGGATTGGTTCGAAGTGCTAAAGGGGGTGAGGCAGGGGTGCATTCACTCACCATACCTATTCAATTTTTACGCAAAAATTATAATGAGAAATATCAAAAATGACCAAACATGTGACAGTTATGATCCGATCAAAATTGGTGGCAACCCTATTCCAGAACTTCGCTGCGCAGATGACAGAGTCCTCCTTTCAAACAGCGTAAAGGGAATAGCAAATTTAATATTGTCCTTCCTAAAGCGCAGTGAAAATCAAAATCTGTTCTTGAAAAGGAGGATGGCCATAGCAATGCAAAGTTTAATAAGCCTAAAAAATCTATGGTGAAGCACCAGCATATCAAGCGCCACGGCGGATTGGAAAAAAATTATAGCAGAAGGCATGGTACCAAAACAGAGAGGCAGGGGCTGACGAACACGAAGATGGGCACAGGATATAAGTGACTCTTTGAGTATGAAAGTGCATGAGGAAGGAGAGCTGGCGGGAGACCGAGTTTCTTTCAGGCAGACGTGATGAGAGCAATAGTCTGCAAAGGACCTGCTGTATGATGATGATGATGATGATACACATACATACACGTGTACACGCTCAAGTGGGAATGCATTTATATATGTTTGCATACACACACACACACGTATATACACTCAAGGTAGCCTCCGTGGTGTAGCGGCCAAAGTGTCACCGTGTGGGTGAGGATCACCCGTGGAGAGGTCCCAGAAACCGCGTTCAGCCACTAGACCATATTTATGGCCAGGCTTTATTGCGGCCCTGGAAAGAGCCAGAGTAGGGCTTCAAATAACGAAATATTGCATCCCACAAGTGGATGACCAGGGTGGAGCTTTCAAACAATGAAAAATCACGTCCCCCACGAGGACAACGTTGGCCAACATCAAACGATCATCCCTGAGTTTTCTGTTCTATTTATATAAGGTGTATGTTAACAGGAAAGAGGTCTATTGTTTTTTTCCTGAAAGCAGTCTAGGCATAATGGTGCTGTAAATTTGGTTCACTCCGAGATCGCCAACTTGGTTCAGACTGTTAAAGGCTATTCTCCATGGAGTATGGTGAGGACGTGTGGCAGAAGTTTTGCATGAGGTTCAGCAAGAACCAGCACAGAGCCGGCTGGTGCCCAAGCCGAGGTACGAAGTACATCCTTATACACATCACAACAGCCTCAACTTTCGCTCGTGCCATGCCAAATGTTTTTTTGTTTTAATGTGGTGGAATAGGTCCACCAGTCTAAAGTGGGTACAAGAAAGTGTCCTGGGAAGTAAAGGTGACTGACATGATGTGGACCGCATCACCCATCGAGTCTATTAACATGCCTGATGTGGCACGGTCAAGGTCTTCTGCTTTCGAGATTATTGAAAATCAAGTCAGCAAATGTGAAAATCTACCAGCTACAGCTGATATACAGTCTGTCTGGGGATCATGTTGTCAAACCCCCCACTGAAGTGAGCATTTTGTCAAATCTACCTTAGCTCTCATTTTAATGTAGCCCAAACTAGATACCAGGAAATGTTTTGGAAAGACAATTCAGCTGATTTTATAATGACCACACAGAGTGCTACAGGGTCAATAAAATACCAAGCTAGCCCCATGTAGCAAAGGTCCCCCATGTAGCCAATGTCCCCCATGTAGCCAATGTCCCCCATGTAGCGAATGTCCCCCATGTAGCCAATGTCCCCCATGTAGTGAATGTCCCCCATGTAGTGAATGTCCCCCATGTAGTGAATGTCCATTTAAGTGTGAAGAAGTGTCCTCTTCTTGAGCTTATTACTGTTTAAATATAATAGAACATACTGCAAACACTTGAAGCTTTCCTAGGACAGATTTAACAAGTTCAAATTACTCAACGACTCAGCTGTTCACAAATAAATGAAAGATACCACCAACCCTTCCACCAGGGGTCGCCAATCTCTGACTGCTGAATGTGACACTGACACCATGACAACCTGTGTACATTTTTATATTTAAAAATACTAAAACAAAAATACTTCTATCAGTTTTATGTTTCTACTGGATTTTTTAAAATAAGATCATTTACTATACTTTATTTCAATAAACGTGCCTTTACAAAATCACTCCAAGTGCCACACTTGGATGTGAGCCCTAGGTTATCATTGTCTTCTCTATACAAAACACCTCGGGGTTGATCCAGCATCACTAAAATGAGTAACGAATAATTTGCGGAATTTTCCACAAGGGTAAGACGCTAAACAAGAAACACAACATAAAAAAAAAAACATTCAGCCAGTGTTTCCTAAACTTTTCTTAGTCACGGCGCCTTTTTTCAATTAAAATTTGTCCGCAGCGCCCTAACCTAAGTAAAATTTTTGACTTTTTGTAAGTAACAGATGAAAACAAATAAAACTTGTGTATCTTCATTTTTGTTTTTCTTTATTAACATTAAATTAACAATTAATGTGATGAATGAGCCTGTAAATCACTGCACATTTTCTTAATTCGTGGAATCAAAAATATTCTCTGGCGCCCCTGTGAAGAGGTCACGGCTCCTCGGAGCTGCGTGGCGCACAGTTTGGGAGTCACTGCATTAAGCTGATGCTCCACAGCGGTATTTGCCATGAATGACATTTAAAAAATTTATGGAACTAAAATAAATTAAACATAGACCGTTTTATTTTTTACTGTTTCATTATTTTCGGGCAATCTACTGTTGATTGATACATCTTGTGCTGCAAGTAGGTCCGGTAAAGAACTTTTACCACAGTGTTAAGTGTCTTGCGAAGTGCTAGTCCCATAACTTTAGCTAGACTAATGGACATAATTTAGGCTTGTCAACCTGGGACCTTAGTCAATTGTTCCAAATCCCCGGCTTGATTGAGATTCAAACACATGATCACTGGGTGGTAGACAAATGTACTAGCCATAGTTACTACAGCTCCCAACGTCTATAGTAGCGACTCCTAACATTTTATTCAACAAAAAAAAAATCTTAAATGGCAAGCTATTATTATCAACTTCAGCAAACAGACATTATCGAAGCCATGACAAGTTTGATGACACTAAAATACTTTGTAGTGTGTATATTTGTTAATAAGTAGCCTATCTTCCTGTTGTCTGAAGCTGCTACTTGGGGGCAATCACTCTAGCCTATCTTCCTGTTGTCTGAAGCTGCTACTTGGGGGCAATCACTCTGTAAATGAGGTGATGACAGGATATTGCCACAACACCAGTGATAAACTAAGACAAACTCCTTGTCTAAGACTCCTTGTCGATGTCACCTTGAAACTGTGCACTAACCAGGCTTCATATTTATACACACATCTGGTACAGAAAGTGGCCTCCTGTCACTCTACAGACATAATCATGTTTGTTATTTCATCATTGGATACATGCAAGATCTTGGTGAGTCCCAGAATCTCTGACAACTTCATGGCCAGAACATGTTTACACTGCAAAGAAAGAAAAAACCAATACTAAATTCTTAAAATGCACATTTCTGCTCCCTGAGTAAATTTACTTTAACAGTCTTATATAGAATGTCTTCCTTGTCTTCTTGCTCAATGTCAGTGTGTTCCTTGTCTTCTTGCTCAATGTCAGTGTGTTCCTTGTCTTCTTGCTCAATGTCAGTGTGTTCCTTGTCTTCTTGCTCAATGTCAGTGTCTTCCTTGTCTTCTCGCTCAATGTCAGTGTGCTCCTTGTCTTCTTGCTCAATGTCAGTGTGTTCCTTGTCTTCTTGCTCAATGTCAGTGTCTTCCTTGTCTTCTCGCTCAATGTCAGTGTGTTCCTTGTCTTCTTGCTCAATGTCAGTGTCTTCCTTGTCTTCTTGCTCAATGTCAGTGTCTTCCTTGTCTTCTTGCTCAATGTCAGTGTGTTCCTTGTCTTCTTGCTCAATGTCAGTGTGTTCCTGGTCTTCTTGCTCAATGTCAGTGTCTTCCTTGTCTTCTTGCTCAATGTCAGTGTGTTCCTGGTCTTCTTGCTCAATGTCAGTGTGTTCCTGGTCTTCTTGCTCAATGTCAGTGTCTTCTTTGTCTTCTTGCTCAATGTCAGTGTCTTCCTTGTCTTCTTGCTCAATGCCAGTGTCTTCCTTGTCTTCTTGCTCAATGTCAGTGTGCTGGACTTTGGCATGAATTAGTTTATGACGTACACTTTGTTAACATGAACTACATTCTGGTCCCAGCAAGGATGTATTAATTATGTATTAGTCCACAGTTAGCACAAATGTTTTTATCACAAATTATTGATTGTTAAGCTGCTTGGAATTCAAGTTAATGAGGTTTAACTGTAACTGAAATATTCTCAAAGCCCAGACCGATGTTTGTGTGAAACATACACACAGGGCAACTGACCAACACTCAATACTTAAGGGAAAGGTGAGACATGGGAGTGTCTCTAGTGCTGTGATGTCAATTCTTCATTCAACATTCATAATGCAACATGTTGAGATAGTATTACAGTCTGACAGAAACAAGTCCTATCTTCAACAACAATATGTTAATAAGACAAATACTGTAAAAAAGAAAATTCCAACAACACTTTTATATTATTCTGCAGAATTACTAGAAACAACACAATTTTGCTAAATCAGATTACTTGTAGAAGTAGTTGAGGTTACAAGTAAGGTTTACAAAACATGATTACTAGAGAAAGTATCTATATCTATATCCTCTTCATGTCGCTGTTGACACATAAGGCATTCACAAGTGATCTCCACTGCTGCCGGTCTGCTGCTTATCTGCCCATGCTATTCCATGTCAGTTTACATTCCTTCATTTCCCATTCTATTGTCCTTCTTCAGGTTTCCTTAGGTCGTCCAGGTCTCCTTGTCCCATCTGCTGTCCACGGAAGAGCTGTTTTTGTCAGAGTGTCACAAGACATACTGCAAACATGTCCAAGCCATCTCTATCGTCCTACTTTGATAACATTTGCCAGTCTTCCTCCTCAGTTCTTCATTTGTGATCTTGTTTGGACAAAATATTCGTAGAATTCTCCTCAAACATTTATTTTGAAAAGTCTCAAGTTTATGTGTAATTCCCGCTGTCATTTCCAACATTCACTGTTGTATAATAAACAGTTTTCCTTAAATGTTGCTCTTGTTTACTCTGAGTTTTCAAACTAAATCCCTTTGACTTCCATATATTGTTAAGCATGGAAAATGCTTGATTTGCTTTGTTTATTCTTGATGTTACATCCTTTTCAGAATCTCTATCTGGAGTAACTTTACTTCAGAGGTATATAAATTCTTCAACTTCCTCTATTGCTTCATCATTTAAGATTATTTGATTTTATGTTTTGAAATTATTTCTCAATACTTTAGTTTTACTGGTGTTTATTTTGAGTCCTTTCTTACGGGCTGTTGCTGAAAGTCTTTCAATCTTTTTTGAAGGCTTGGTAAAAGGCTGATGTCATCTGCTTATTCCAAATTCTCTAAAACCGAGGTGAGTGACCACCTGATGCCTCTTTTTCTACCTCGTGTAACTTCCTTCATCAGCCAGTTAATGGCCAAATTTAACAAAAAGGGGGATAGTATGCATCCCTGTCTGACTCCTGTGTTGACAAAGAAACTTTCTGTTGTATAATTATCACAAACTACCTTGCACTGAAACTCTAAGTAAATGGCTTTGATCAATAATGACCTTGGCTTCCAAGTTGACCCAGCCTTAAATGGGTAGCAGGTGAAGTCCTGGGAAGTAAAGGCAGCCAGCATGATGGTGACCCCATTACCCACAGAGTGCCAACTGGTCTATAAAATATAAGTCTAGCCCTATATGCCCAATACATCTGAAGACGTAGAAAAGAATCCTTTATAATAGTGGAAAGTGACATGACCAGCATCCATTCCGTGTAGAATTATATCATTTCCCTCTAATAAAAAAAATTAATTTACACATATGAAATAGCTATCATACAGTCTTATAGGATGGGCAATGTATTAGAGAAAGCTAAAGGAACAGAAATTAACTGGAATATATAGACAATTATACAATAAACAGAGCAGTGCATGTATTTGTCCTGACAGTGTGAATTTGTTGTTAAACATGAAAGTTAAAAATCAAATGTGAATATAAAGCCAAGAAAAAAAGAGCACATATCTTTTATACATAACTTGATGAGCAGGTCACATCATTAGAGTGGCCGGGTGAAACAAGAAGATTCATGTTAGCTCAAAGGTGAACAACCAGACATGACAATCAATAGGAAGCCTCAAGTATGAGTAACTTCACCAAAAATTCTGACCAATAGTTTTCACAGTATATTTCAGGCAGCCACAAATCTAATCTTTATGTCTTAATTCTGCAAAAGTAACAAAAATGTCTTCAGTTTTAACATAATTAAATAGCATCTTACCATAAGATGGTCTCCCCTGCAGAGAACTGAAACAAATAAAAGATGTGTAGACATTACTGCTGTTATCTGCTGATTGTAGTTAGTGCAGACATTACTGCTGTGATCTGTGGATCTGCTGTGAAATCAGAATTGTTGGGTTAAAGGTGCAGATATCACAGCCTAGCTGTAAATTGTAACACATGTGCCAACCACCTTTTCAAGGCTTTCAAGATGCAGAAGACAAATATGCTATTAAAATAGTTGCAAAATAATACAAGTTTATGGGGATCAATGTTTATCGCATGCACAGATATTCATGTAATATTCACGGTACAAAACTGGTATGAAAATTATTGAGTTTGAAGCTTGGCCTAGACATTCAATTTCTGTTCATGTTGATGAACTTGTCAAAATCAGAGATCAGATACATTAAGGTCAATGTCCGACTCTGAAAAATGATGGCAGATTAATGTGATATTAACCAAGAGAGGATCCATCATATTTGACTGGAACATTTAGGCAAGAAAATATTCACTGCCCAGTCTGTGCCATATACTCGTTGTCTGATGACCAAACACATCTTTGTGTTGAGTATGCCAGCTGGTCCCTGCAGGAGAATGCACCAGCTCACTGGGCAGTCACTGTCAAGGAGTGCAGGCTAAATGAAGCAAAAACAAGTGTCTGCTCTGCACTCAATCACTTAACAAAAGGTTCTGGTTGTTCAGTCACTTCTAAATTTGACCTGGGCTCTGAAGCTGACAAGTGGTACCAGAACTTAAGATCTGTATGCGCATTTTTTGTTTCAACATATCTGGCTCATTTATATGCAGACTGTTTGTTCCAAGCCTCTCAGGCAGATGCACTCCAAATTCAAAGAAAACTTACCTAATAAACTGCCTTTTATGACATGCTTATTAGAGGACAGTGGGTTTATACTCCAACCCCCCCCCCCCCCCCCCCCCCCAAGGGGCTCTGGAACTCAGAGGGGGAATTAACTCTGTCAGTTACAGACTGTTACTGCTTCAACAATGTTTTATATCACAGTTTTTGTACTTTAGAGCAATACTGTTAGTGTGAAAAAGTATAAATAATAATAAAAAACTATATGGCAGAACAATAAAAGTGACAGCTAGAAAAGAACAGCTTAAAGTAACAGAAAAATGGGTCATTCAAAGTTAAGAAAACTAAAGCACATAAAAAGAAACAAATAAATAAGTGTGTGGCTTGGTACTGGGAGAGTTAAATGGGCATCTCTTTTGTCATACTGATGATATTTAATTGACTGTAACAACTAACCTAGGGGCCATAACACAAGCAGACTTACAGAAGTCATTCCAGTATTTGTTAGATCATGCTACTCGCTGTATCAGTCACCATCATCATTACCACGTACTGTGCCTTTAAGCGTAGGCTGTAATGCAATCTTACACAATCCAAAGAATCACATTAATGTTTACATCTCACCCCATCCATGTGGCCAGACATTTAGGTATTTATCGCTTTGCCTTTCTCTTGCTCCCTTTCCACAAATCTTGCCATTTGTTACCAACTTCTCAAATCCATTTCTTTCATGACATGTTCCAAAAAATACTGACTGTCTACGTCTAAATGTTCTGATTAGTTTATGACTTTCATCAAAAGCATAAAAAATGTTCTAGTCTTTCGTTTATTACTTTTTACAAATCAGTGTCGTGATTTGATTGTTGGACAGTGTAATATTTTAATGTGATTCATCTGAGTTAACCAGAAATTAACTAGAAGTTAACCAGAAATTAACCAGAAATTAACCAGAAATTAACTAGAAGTTAACCAGAAATTAACCAGAAATTAACCAGAAATTAACCAGAAATTAACCAGAAATTAACCAGAAATTAACCAGAAATTAACCAGAAATTAACCAGAAATTAACCAGAAATTAACCAGAAATTAACCAGAAATTAACCAGAAATTAACCAGAAATTAACCAGAAATTAACCAGAAATTAACTAGATATCGGAATGGCCACATTAAAAACAGAAAATGAAACCCACACATGAAAAATTAAACAACCCCAAAATATATACATTCTAGAAAACACTACTTTGACCTGATCAAACAAATACCACTTAGTTTCTTCTACTGGCTCTTGACAAATTTTTATTTTTAATTTTCATATAATTTTATTGCTCTTGTTAAATTTGTTTTTAATTTTCCTGTACATTTTATTGCTCTTGATAAGTTTTTTTTTAATTTTCCTGTATATTTTATTGCTCTTAAAAGTATCTCCTCAGAAACATCACCAGAAATTTTCCTACACTAAGAAAGCACATAAACTGCCGAGCTGAGGAGATGACCAAAAAAAAAAAAGCACATAAATTGCAGAACTGAGGAGATGACCAAAAAAAAAAAAAAGCACATAAATTGCAGAACTGAGGAGATGACCTAAAAAAAAAAAAAAAGCACATAAATTGCAGAACTGAGGAGATGACCAAAAAAAAAAAAGCACATAAATTGCAGAACTGAGGAGATGACCAAAAAAAAAAAAAGCACATAAATTGCAGAACTGAGGAGATGACCAAAAAAAAAAAAAAGCACATAAATTGCAGAACTGAGGAGATGACCAAAAAAAAAAGCACATAAATTGCAGAACTGAGGAGATGACCAAAAAAAAAAAGCACATAAATTGCAGAACTGAGGAGATGACCAAAAAAAAGCACATAAATTGCAGAACTGAGGAGATGGCGAAAAAAAAAAGCACATAGATTGCCAAACTGAGAAGATGACCGAAAAGAAAGCACCTAAATTGCCTAACTGAGGAGATGATTAAAAAGAAAGCAAACGCCACACCCTGAATGAAGTTCTAGACGGCCATTACTGGAGACACATTTCATGATTTTCTGGCCAAGAGAAATCAGAAACCTAAGGTTTGCAAAGCTTAACATAAACAGGCTATCAGAGCGTTCAAGGAAAAGATTAAAGTCAAGGAAGTATAGAAGGCAGCCGAGCCTGCTTCTGTCAAACAAATTAGTCCAAGATGGTCAGCCGATGAGTACAGTTTCACATGCGGAAGGGAATAAATCAATGTGAAATCAATAAATAAGTTGTTATCATTAACTTTTGTTTTAAATGTGTTGCCATGGTTCTTTTTGTTGACTGTCAACTCTGTTGCCCAATTTTAATTATTTTAGAATTTCACTTTTAATATTTAACCATCAGGATTAATTTACATCCCTCAAATGATTCTAAGAAGAAAACAGTCATTGCTACTGTGGCTTCTGGAGAAACTTTTGTATTGTTTATTCTCATTATTCTTATTTTGATAGCGGCCATTTATCATCAGCTGTGACAGGCCCTCATAATGCAATGGACATGTACTGGTTGGCAAATTCACAGCCCCGGGACATTGTGGCTAACCAGACAGCATATCATGGATTACTGGAAGTTATTCTTCTGTCTCAAGACCACACAAAACACACCGATTGATTTAGGACACAGTGAAGAAAATGTTTATTTAAAATCTGTTCTGACTTCAAATGAAAAAAAAAACATAGAAGTAACAAATTAACAACATTTCTACTTCAAGAGGACTACAGTGCAGTGACTAGCATGCTTGCTTACTGGGCCGATCATTACTGGTTCAAAACCCTATCAAGACTGACTTCTAAATTTGACCTGGGCCCCGAAGCTGACAAGTGGTACCAGAAAAATGTTCTTGGAAATAGAAACCATTGGCATGATACTGACATGTCCCATTCAGTGCTGCCTGTGTCTAAATATGGGGATCTAGGACCATATGTCCAACACACACGACAGCAGGAAATTGTGTTCTTACAGAAAAGATGCGCTCAAGACATTTCTGGAAGGGCCGAATGTAAGACGGGCCTGCGTGCCCAATTTGTGACCCTTTGAAAATAAAGTTTGTTCGTTCGTTCGTTCAGCTGCTGCATTGCTGAAATAATTAACTGACATGTTAAAAAGCAGACATCTACTAACCTGAGAAATGAAAAGCAGGACAGGAGCAGTATTTCAGGTTCGGAAAACATGTATATGGTGTTCCTGAAGCTCCAATCACCTGGCGATAATAGTCACACAATAGAAGAATGTTTAGAAGTCTAAAATATGTGTTGCTGAATTCCTTTACGTTGTGGATCCTAACATGAGAGCCCTGGTGAACTCACAGAGTACACATGGGAAATGATAAACTGACAAGGAGAATAAACTAACTGTATCAATTTTATAAATAGAAACCAGATGTCAGAAAGCAAGTGCACTTATATAGCAATTGTCACCATTATTAAGACATCCAAGCATAACTATGAGTGCAAAGAGACAGATTATTAATAGCATATTCACTCCAACATTAAGCTACCAGTGCCAAACATGGACACTATTTAAAGCCCATACACGCAAAATTACCACCTGCGAGATGAGGTGCCTGAGAAAAGCAGCCAACCTAACCATACGAAATCGAGTGAATAATGAAACTATGAGGCAAATTGTGGGAATGACACCTTGTACTAGATTCATCGAGAAACGTTAGAATGCAGCAAGATCAAATACCATCACAAGCACTACATCTCAAAAGATCAACTACAAGATCAAGAGGACGGCCGCAAAAAAAATACGGATCGACAACATTAAAGACACTCTAGCATGATGATGATCAGTGTTATGCTTTGGCTACCAGCTTGCAGAAATTCATTTTCCAGATTTTGGGTAAATTTCAATCCACTTATTTAAATTCTTGAATTAATGACACAAGTTACTAAATTATTCTGTTAGTTATGCCAGTAACTGCGTAAAATTGTTTTAGAGAGATTTAACACATTTTAAAAAGCCTCACACAACACACAAACCAGTTGCCTCTTCATGTTTATAAGTAATTAAATTACTGATTAGTAATGTGATCAAGTCTATGCATTGTTGCCTTGACTACCAGGTTGAGCCAGCCTAGAATGGATGCAAGGAAATGTCCTTAGAAGTAAGGATGCCAGGTGTATTGTTGATCACATCATCCACAGAGTGTTGATGGGTCTATGCAAAAAATGGTTTGGAACTCTTTTTTTTTTTGTTTGCATACAGTTCAGTGAATGATATATACATGAACCCATCAAAATAATTGTCAGAGAAATGGTGGAACACACATACAAGATAGAATGAAATTAAATCAATATTTTTTGGCATCATTAGGATTTTGAGAAGAAGCAAATGTACTCAAAATGTAAGAGTTGAAAATTAGAAATGCAGGCAAATAACACAGAAAAACTGATAAAACGAAACTGAAATAATAGTAAAGAATGACAAACTGTATTTTTTATTCTAACCCTTTGATATCAATGCCAATCTTGGTCCCCATTCACAAAAGATGATTGACAGACAGCTTGTCCTATGTGAGATAAGACAAACATTATACCCAGCCAAAGTAGTGCACTTTATCCTGGTGACTGATCACAGCCATGCTGAGTTACGCGAGGTCAGGCCATCAGATGACTTCTGTGTTTTTATTATTTCCACTGCAGCCCTTTCTACACTTTCTACAACAATTGCAACTGTTATTTTCAGTAGTCTCTTTTGACTTGTTGCTACCAAGATTGTGTGCTCAGCACAACATAAACTCATATATCATGAGATCGTTTACAAAGATCTCATTATATGCTCACTATACATGTATAAAGGAAAAACAACATTCTTATCAAACATCCCTTTTTTTTTGCATTAAAATATTCCTAAGTGACAAGAGCCTGTGTGGCTATGGAATGACTCTAGATGATAATAGTGAATGATGTTCTAGCACTTGGATGACTGCTTAGCGATTATGCATTTAACCGCCCAGGAGTTTCAGAAGAGGATATCGTGACGGACGAGTGAACTCCAGGATTCACGGAGATTTGACTGACCCAAGGGTCAACGGTTGACCAGACAAAAGAGACAGGAAATGCATTTTCAGGGAGTTCATTGAGATACTTGGACAAGTCATGTTGTATTTTGACCGCTAGGTTTTTCAGTAACTGATTTAAGTTAGCGACAGTTAGTTTTTGATAACCTGTCAGCTTAATGTTATCATAATTTAGGTTTTAGTTAGGCAGCATAATGTCTGTACGTTACAGAAGTAGTCCACTGTGTTTAGTTACAGCTGTTTTCACTTAGGTATTTATCTGTAGTGAGGTGGTTTGTAAAGGAGGTTGGTCAGTTTCAGAAGAATAATATGATGATGTCATGGACACAGTATTCAGGCAACTCTGAGCAGTGACATGGTCTGTCCAATTACAGCCACTACAACAATGCAGTCACACACCAGTCCTGGTGTAGCTTGGAGAGGAGCAGGAATGACCTTGGACTAGTGGCTGTTGTTCCAGATCCAGTTAATGCCTGGAACAACTGGATGGCCAGTGTGTGAGTTTATTTTAACTCTACCAGACCGCTGTACCGTTTTTCCAGGAATTTCTTAATCTACCGCTAAACAGCTGTACATAATTTTCGGTACTTTGCGTACTAGGTGAAAAAAATGTGTCCCAAACTAAAAATAATAAACCAGTCGTTGTCAAACCTCGTAGTTCGTCATTGCGAATGGCTGCCCTCAAGTGTTTAGACTGATGTGTGGTTTAATGTGAAAATATTCTAAAGTTTACAATGAAGTGGATGATGAACCAAGCACTTCAACAGGAAAGCTAAGTAGCTCTAGGCTTTTCACAGACAGGATTATGAATACTAGCATTGGAGAGAAAGTCGGAATAAGACCATGTCTGGATTATATTGGCAAACCAATAATGAAATGGTTCAGCCATCTAGTAAGAATGCAACAGACTTAACTGCAAATGAGACTTTTACAGCAGAATATCTGAGTGGAAGGCGAAGGGGAGACCAAGAAAGAGATGAATAAATAGTGAAGATGAAACCTGCAAAAAACATCCAAAATCCATCACCCAAGCAACCCGTAAAGCACAAGACAAAATCCATCACCCAAGCAACCCGTAAAGCACAAGACAAAATCCATCACCCAAGCAACCCGTAAAGCACAAGACAAAATCCATCACCCAAGCAACCCGTAAAGCACAAGACAAAATCCATCACCCAAGCAACCCGTAAAGCACAAGACAAAATCCATCACCCAAGCAACCCGTAAAGCACAAGACAAAATCCATCACCCAAGCAACCCGTAAAGCACAAGACAAAATCCATCACCCAAGCAACCCGTAAAGCACAAGACAAAATCCATCACCCAAGCAACCCGTAAAGCACAAGACAAAATCCATCACCCAAGCAACCCGTAAAGCACAAGACAAAATCCATCACCCAAGCAACCCGTAAAGCACAAGACAAAATCCATCACCCAAGCAACCCGTAAAGCACAAGACAAAATCCATCACCCAAGCAACCCGTAAAGCACAAGACAAAATCCATCACCCAAGCAACCCGTAAAGCACAAGACAAAATCCATCACCCAAGCAACCCGTAAAGCACAAGACAAAATCCATCACCCAAGCAACCCGTAAAGCACAAGACAAAATCCATCACCCAAGCAACCCGTAAAGCACAAGACAAAATCCATCACCCAAGCAACCCGTAAAGCACAAGACAAAATCCATCACCCAAGCAACCCGTAAAGCACAAGACAAAATCCATCACCCAAGCAACCCGTAAAGCACAAGACAAAATCCATCAGCCAAGCAACCCGTAAAGCACAAGACAAAATCCATCACCCAAGCAACCCGTAAAGCACAAGACAAAATCCATCACCCAAGCAACCCGTAAAGCACAAGACAAAATCCATCACCCAAGCAACCCGTAAAGCACAAGACAAAATCCATCACCCAAGCAAACCCGTAAAGCACAAGACAAAATCCATCACCCAAGCAACCCGTAAAGCACAAGACAAAATCCATCACCCAAGCAACCCGTAAAGCACAAGACAAAATCCATCAGCCAAGCAACCCGTAAAGCACAAGACACAAAATCCATCACCCAAGCAACCCGTAAAGCACAAGACAAAATCCATCAGCCAAGCAACCCGTAAAGCACAAGACAAAATCCATCACCCAAGCAACCCGTAAAGCACAAGACAAAATCCATCACCCAAGCAACCCGTAAAGCACAAGACAAAATCCATCACCCAAGCAACCCGTAAAGCACAAGACAAAATACAGAAAACCATGACAGTTGACCACATCATGGTAACAATAAGACTGCAAAAGAAAAAGAAGATGAAGATGAAGTCACCAGACCTTGACAGTAGATACAGCCATAAAATTGCAACATCTCATATTGATGAATAAATCATGTAAATCAGATAATATAATATTCAACACTGAAAATACAAAAGTAATATCCATAAAAAGAAAGCAGCACTTAGAGAGAATAAATGTGAGAGTGCACCATACAAAGTATGACAGCAGCGCACCATACAAAGCGTGACAGCGCACCACACAAAGCATGACAGCGCACCACACAAAGTGTGACAGCGCACCGCACAAAGTCTACGTTAAAACAGGAGAGGGATGAAGAGTACAGGTAGACCATGAACTTGATGGAAAGGTAACATCGGAGAAACTACAACACCACCATGTGTCTATGCTCAAGGTGACCAGGAAAGAAAGAAGCAGAAACTTATATCTCACTTGATGCGGGAAGCTGTATAAGAGGAAGTGAATAAGAAGAAAAAGAAAGACTTTCTTTAGCCTGGTTTTAGAATTTGTTCCATGCTCTGCCTAGTTTGTCTTTGTGATCTGCCTGGGGGCCACAACATCAGATCTTTTTTTTTTTCTCTGTCATAAGTAAAAATCTAGATGGAGCTAGAGTTGGCTCCAAGGTCAACCCAGCCTTAAATGGGAACCAGGTAAAGCCCTGGGAAGTAACTGGGGCTGGTGTGATGCTGGCCACCCACCAAGTGCCAAGTGTTAAATAAAAACAGGTCTAGCCCTATGTGCCCAATATACCCGAAGCCATGGCAAAGGGTCCTTTCGTTTTATTTTTATTTTTTTTAAATGAAGTTTCTTGGGATAGTAAAGTTGTGGTCCTGCCCTATGGGATAGTAAAGTTGTGGTCCTGCCCTATGGGATAGTAAAGTTGTGGTCCTGCCCTATGGGATAGTAAAGTTGTGGTCCTGCCCTATGGGATAGTAAAGTTGTGGTCCTGCCCTATGGGATAGTAAAGTTGTGGTCCTGCCCTATGGGATAGTAAAGTTGTGGTCCTGCCCTATGGGATAGTAAAGTTGTGGTCCTGCCCTATGGGATAGTAAAGTTGTGGTCCTGCCCTATGGGATAGTAAAGTTGTGGTCCTGCCCTATGGGATAGTAAAGTTGTGGTCCTGCCCTATGGGATAGTAAAGTTGTGGTCCTGCCCTATGGGATAGTAAAGTTGTGGTCCTGCCCTATGGGATAGTAAAGTTGTGGTCCTGCCCTATGGGATAGTAAAGTTGTGGTCCTGCCCTATGGGATAGTAAAGTTGTGGTCCTGCCCTATGGGATAGTAAAGTTGTGGTCCTGCCCTATGGGATAGTAAAGTTGTGGTCCTGCCCTATGGGATAGTAAAGTTGTGGTCCTGCCCTATGGGATAGTAAAGTGGTGGTCCTGCCCTATGGGATAGTAAAGTTGTGGTCCTGCCCTATGGGATAGTAAAGTTTGTGGTCCTGCCCTATGGGATAGTAAAGTTGTGGTCCTGCCCTATGGGATAGTAAAGTGGTGGTCCTGCCCTATGGGATAGTAAAGTTGTGGTCCTGCCCTATGGGATAGTAAAGTTGTGGTCCTGCCCTATGGGATAGTAAAGTTGTGGTCCTGCCCTATGGGATAGTAAAGTGGTGGTCCTGCCCTATGGGATAGTAAAGTTGTGGTCCTGCCCTATGGGATAGTAAAGTGGTGGTCCTGCCCTATGGGATAGTAAAGTTGTGGTCCTGCCCTATGGGATAGTAAAGTTGTGGTCCTGCCCTATGGGATAGTAAAGTGGTGGTCCTGCCCTATGGGATAGTAAAGTGGTGGTCCTGCCCTATGGGATAGTAAAGTGGTGGTCCTGCCCTATGGGATAGTAAAGTGGTGGTCCTGCCCTATGGGATAGTAAAGTGGTGGTCCTGCCCTATGGGATAGTAAAGTGGTGGTCCTGCCCTATGGGATAGTAAAGTTGTGGTCCTGCCCTATGGGATAGTAAAGTTGTGGTCCTGCCCTATGGGATAGTAAAGTGGTGGTCCTGCCCTATGGGATAGTAAAGTTGTGGTCCTGCCCTATGGGATAGTAAAAGTTGTGGTCCTGCCCTATGGGATAGTAAAGTGGTGGTCCTGCCCTATGGGATAGTAAAGTGGTGGTCCTGCCCTATGGGATAGTAAAGTGGTGGTCCTGCCCTATGGGATAGTAAAGTGGTGGTCCTGCCCTATGGGATAGTAAAGTGGTGGTCCTGCCCTATGGGATAGTAAAGTGGTGGTCCTGCCCTATGGGATAGTAAAGTTGTGGTCCTGCCCTATGGGATAGTAAAGTGGTGGTCCTGCCCTATGGGATAGTAAAGTTGTGGTCCTGCCCTATGGGATAGTAAAGTTGTGGTCCTGCCCTATGGGATAGTAAAGTGGTGGTCCTGCCCTATGGGATAGTAAAGTGGTGGTCCTGCCCTATGGGATAGTAAAGTGGTGGTCCTGCCCTATGGGATAGTAAAGTGGTGGTCCTGCCCTATGGGATAGTAAAGTTGTGGTCCTGCCCTATCGCTTTCAACATCCACAAGGATTTAAATTAGGAGACAAGGCAGGCCAAGAAAGACTTGGATCTAAAATCTGGCAAACTGGATGGGTTTCAAATAAAACTGATACACATTTGTTTGTAGGTATTGGTGTTATCTGTCCAGTAAGTGGGTTTGCTTTATTAAACCTACTGTCAATCTTGGTTTCTGGTTTGGCAGCTGATGATTTTTTACTCCTTATTTACTTAAGTTCTTCATTGTTTCAGTCAGGAAGTATTCTGCATTATTTTTCACTGTAGATTGCAATTACTTTCTGTGAAAACAGTTTTTACATATTTTTATGTTTAAATACCTGAAACAGTTCTCTTCCACTGGGAGAGATGACACGGGTGACTGATCTCTTTTCAACAAGTTCTAGTGCAGTTAACAGAGGTCCTTGATAGATGAAGTTTAATCTGCAATACAACAAGAGAATATATCTAGGGATCTAACATGATTGCTGTAAACATAAAACATTCATATACATTCTGCCACTTTCATGTGATTGTATACTGTTAGATTAGTACTGTGTGTAGTTCGGGAAATTGCATCATTTAGTAGGATGCTTAGCTTTGATTGAGGGAAACTCTTTCTGAGGGCCAATTCATGATGGATAATGAACCTCTGTTGTTGTGCTGATGCTCTGTTCACCTTTTTAAGGTATATCTCTTGAGATTCCAGTCTTTCAGGAGAAAAGTGGAATAGTCTAATTGGGGAGGTTCTATCTTGTGCTGATACTCTGTGCACCTTATTAAGGTATATCTCTTTAGATTCAAGTCTTTGAGGAGAGAAGTGGAATAGTCTGTCTAATTGGGGAGGTTCTAACTTGTGGTGGGGGTCTAAATATGCTGGTTAACTCATATAAATACGACACAGTGATTCATTTACTGTAATCTCTATGGGACAAAGAATGGAAACTATACAGTTTGTGGTAATTTGTTACAGATATAAAGATAGTCCCCACTAGCTGGCTGTATTAATGCCAGTCATCACTCTTCAACGGACTGTGTGTGTGGTGTGAAGAAGGTGTCAGGCTCTATAATCTAAGAGAAAGGCAAAAATTGGATCCTAAACCCCCCTAGTCTATTGACAGTCTACAATCTGATCTCAGACTGAGTGTACCAGTTACCTACAAGTGATCTGAAAGAAACTAGAACAGAACCTGAACTCACTGGCTGATTACCTTATCTGGCTTCTGTTGTAGTTATAAATCCTCCAGTCTGATTCAAAAGAGAAGCAGAACTTAAAACCTGAACCTGCTGACCTAGTGTCTGAATTACTGTAAAATGTCTGCTTATGATGCTGAAATGGATCCCTAACCCAGTAAGCCAGTATCAAGTTGTTCATTCATAAACCTGTAACTGAAGTACTCTAGAACTTCAGCTGAAGGAAGTCCTGGTGTGTGTCAGCTGAAGGAAGTCCTGATGTGTGTCAGATGAAGGAAGTCATGGTGTGTGTCAGCTGAAGGAAGTCCTGATGTGTGTCAGATTAAGGAAGTCCTGATGTGTGTCAGATGAAGGAAGTCCTGATGTGTGTCAGCTGAAGGAAGTCTTGATGTGTGTCAGCTGAAGGAAGTCCTGATGAGTGTCAGATAAAGGAAGTCCTGGTGTGTGTCAGATGAAGGAAGTCCTGGTGTGTGTCAGATGAAGGAAGTCCTGATGTGTGTCAGCTGAAGGAAGTCCTGATGTGTGTCAGCTGAAGGAAGTCCTGATGTGTGTCAGATGAAGGAAGTCCTGGTGTGTGTCAGATGAAGGAAGTCCTGATGTGTGTCAGCTGAAGGAAGTCCTGGTGTGTGTCAGATGAAGGAAGTCCTGATGTGTGTCAGCTGAAGGAAGTCCTGATGTGTGTGTCAGATGAACAAGAACATTTATGTTGTTATAATTATGGGAGCAATTGTGTCAGGTTCATGTTTATTATTTGTTGCTTAATATGATCAATAAATGTTGAAACATTAACTTCATTTGTAAACAACTATACGTATGAACTGTAGTTCTACAAGAATATTTCTTGATCTTTACTGTGAAACACAGTTTGGTGCTAGATAAATTGTAAGAGCATCTTTAACTAGATATTTCCCAGGTGTCCATATTTTCTATATCAGTGGGTCCTACCTACCATCTAGTTCCCACAACAGGAATTGCTGCCTGCTTATGAGATAATCTCCTGGAACCAAACCCTTAGATAAATGGCACTTCTGCACTTTTCTGGCCTTCCAGAGTTAAGGAGAGATCGTTTCCTTGTAATGTGATCTCTTTGCTATGGTCTGTTTTTTATGACAACTATCAGTCTCCCACTGGAAATAATTAGGGCACTGTATACCTAGTTTTACTAAATACTTCCTAATGTACCTAGCTGTACTAAGTACTTCCTAGTGTACCTAGCTGTACTAAGTACTTCCTAGTGTACCTAGCTGTACTAAGTACTTCCCAGTGTACCTAGCTGTACTAAGTACTTCCTAGTGTACCTGGCTGTACTAGGTACTTCCTAGTGTACCTGGCTGTACTAAGTACTTCCTAGTGTACCTAGCTGCACTAGGTACTTCCTAGTGTACCTGGCTGTACTAGGTACTTCCTAGTGTACCTGGCTGTACTAGGTACTTCCTTGTGTACCTGGCTGTACTAAGTACTTCCTAGTGTACCTAGCTGTACTAAGTACTTCCTAGTGTACCTGGCTGTACTAGGTACTTCCTAGTGTACCTGGCTGTACTAGGTACTTCCTAGTGTACCTGGCTGTACTAGGTACTTCCTAGTGTACCTGGCTGTACTAAGTACTTCCTAGTGTACCTAGCTGTACTAAGTACTTCCTAGTGTACCTAGCTGTACTAAGTACTTCCTAGTGTTCCTAGCTGTACTAAGTACTTCCTAATGTACCTGGATGTACTAGGTACTTCCTAGTGTACCTGGCTGTACTAGGTACTTCCTAATGTACATGGCTGTACCAAGTACTTCCTAGTGTACCTGGCTGTACTAGGTACTTCCTAATGTACATGGCTGTACCAAGTACTTCCTAGTGTACCTAGCTGTACTGTACTGGTTATGAATTCATGGTAACATCATAATTAAATATGTCAGTTTCACTGAATGAAAGTTGTACTTACAAACTCAAGGACTCATCAGATACTGTTGAAAATAAGAATAGAAAAGTAATTTTTTTTTTCACTTTTCCTAACTAAATTAAAAAAATGTTTACTAAAGAAAAACTAATGATTGTTTCAGGTTCATCAGTCCAAATGTTGTTTCCTCCATTGGAGATTTCTGTGTGTGGCTCAACATGTAATTCTTGAGAATACTGTGATTGAACTTCATTTTCTCAATCCATGTGGCTGCTTAGCAACCATCTTTGACAGCAGTTTGCAGTGGTCAGGGTAGGCAAGTGCCATAGTGTTGTGTTGTCTACCTGTTCCAGTGGTCAGGGTAGGCAAGTGACATAGTGTAGTGTTGTCTACCTGTTTCAGTGGTCAGGGTAGGCAAGTGACATAGTGTAGTGTTGTCTACCTGTTTCAGTGGTCAGTGTAGGCAAGTGACATAGTGTAGTGTTGTCTACCTATTTCAGTGGATATCCAGTGCTCTGAACTGTGCTTAATCCACAGCTTGCCTCAAGGGAATATTTGCATCTAGGACTTGACTTTTTGCATTCATAGCAAGGATGTCAAATCTTCTGATAACAACCTGGAGTGAAAAGGCAGCCAAATTATCTTCTAACACATGTGCAACAAAGGAGCACACACACAAGGGTAGTGCTTGATGTAACTGTTATTGGTTCTATAATTATAACTCTTGGAAGGTTAAACGGGGTATATGGGGGTTTACCCTGTTGGACTGATATCCAGAATGTGACTTGTTGGGTCACAGGGCTGTTGAACTTTCAGGTTGCAGCCCACAGGAAAAAGAGTCAAATCCCTTCTTTTATGAGGACTGTATGAACTTGACCAGAGTCACATTTAATTCAAACTATTGAATGTTTAAAAAAAAAATTCCATACTTCTTCTTTGATTCTATTGTATACCTTTTATTAAACTAATGTCTTTAGTTTCTTTACCAAAATTGCTGTATCTTTACTTTATTAGTGATCTAAATATAATCATTAATAATACTGACATTTGCCACTAGCAGTGTATGCTTGTTTCACTTGTTCCAGCAACTGGTCTGCTACTTCATCAACTGCCATTTTTGATTCTGGAGACATAAATATTTACTTTTTTGATTATGTAAATAATACATCATCTTACCCCAACCTATTTTTCTAGGGAGTGGAAGGCCTCCAAGAAACTTAAGCCTAGTTTGCGTGTACAATAATAATTATTTTTTTTACTATTATTTTATCGGGAGTCACTGCGGTGTTGGGGGCAAGACGCCCGCTTGTGGATTGGAAGGTTGTGGGTTCGCATCCATTTTTTAAAAAATTACCTTGACTCCCAGGTTGACCCAGCTTTGAGTTGGTACTAGGTGCAGTCCTGGGAAGTAAAGGAGGCTGGCGTGATGCTGACCACATCACCCAAGTGCCGATTGGCCTATAAACATACAGGTCTAGCCCTATATTCCCAATGCGCCTAAAAGTGTGGACAAGGAACCTGATTTTGTGACAAATGACAAATAAATGCAATGATATATTTGAAATTTGTAAACATAGACCTTTAAAAAAGAACATATGGTTATGAGGACCACTTAGCCCCTTGCAACTCTTCTAGTGGGGGTGGGGACAGGGCCTCAAACCAAAAAATAAATTAAGGGGGTGGGTGTGGGGGGGGCTCTAGGTGCCCTATCCAGAGATGCTGACACATAGAAAACATAGAGGGGAGCCCTCAGAAAACACCCCTAGCCCCCATAAAACCCCTTCCATGTGCCTCACAAAGAGGATTTAGCTAAAGGGCCACAGTCTTAGCTTAACAGCGCAATAATAATATATACGGCTCCCTATCCCTGCTAAGGCTGATGGACATTGGGGTGCAACCTGAAGCTGCAAGAAATTAACATTTCACCAAGGAGTAAGACTTTTGATTATTCAACACAGAACAAACATCATCAGTTTTTCACATTTATGGAATTTTTGAGCACCTTTGGCTGACCAGATGGTGTAAGGATAATCCTAACCAATAACTAATCACTAATGGATAATCCCTAATGGATAATCCCTAATGGATAATCACTAATAATAATAATAATAATAATAATAATAATGTGCCTGATAGTAAATATAAAAGAGCTGTCCTTGCAGTAACGTCGCTAGTTGGACGGCGGCGGCCGCTTATTCGGAGTTCAGTCCCCTGGCTGCAGTGCAATTACGGAGTGGAAAAGAGGGAACGACACAAATGACATAATTAGGGCTAGGGGTAGGGTTAGGGTTAGGCTAATGTGAGTCTCAGCGCGTGGTCTAGATGTCATGCTGAACTCACTGTGTTTTGTGATTCGTGCCTTGTCCACTCCGTAATTGCACTGCAGCCAGGGGACTGAACTCCGACTAAGCGGCCGTCGCCGTCCAAGTAGCGACCATTATTGCAAGGAGAACCTATAAAAGTATTATTAATATACTAGAAATAAAATGAAATGTGGCAACAAAACAAATACTTTTAAAGAGAATGTATGTATATGATTAGATCCACTGAGCTCCCTTGCAAAGTTATGGGAGAGGGATTTGGGCCCTTTCAAACATTAGGAGGGGGAGCTAAAAAAAAAATTGGGGGGAGGGGACTCAACGGGTCTGGTGAAAATAATCATAAATTACAAATCTGTAAAAAAAAAAAAAAAACGATTTCCCTAGTGTCTCAGTCTGCAAAACATATTTTCACCCAGCCATAATCATAAAGTGGGAGCGTGGGGGGAGCAATAATCTATCATGCAATACCAGAAGCGTACTTGTACACTGTTGAAGATACTCACGAGAATGCTCAGGTGAAGCCATTATTGCTTTATTTATGCTCCGCAAACAGCGACAGTATTTTGGCTTTCCTGACCTTTGACCTTAAATGATGCAAATTTCTCGCGCCGGTTTTGGTATTGTCGTTCCGTTCCAGTGTTGCCACTTTGGATGTTTTACATCCAGATCTAGATGTTTTTCTTTGCATCTAGACGGTGTTTTTGACGTCAGGATAGTAGATGTAATTCTAGAAGTTTTCCATTTGGAGTTAAATATATAGATTTTTTTTCTCTCAGTGTCAGTATAATAATTACTGTGTCAAATTTTTATTACACATTTTTTTTAAAGGAAGGGGGGGGGGGGGGGGGTCTGGGCACGTACACTGTGGTAGCTGCGATTACTTAAACTTTGAACTCACTGTGGTCAACGCTCAACAATCTGGCAGCCCCGGTACTGATTAAGAGCGCACGTAAATGATACTTTTGATGATTTTGAAATATTTGCACACTTTTATATTTGTCTTCCAATTCGTAAAATCCTTTCAACGTGCCAAAATTAAAGCAGTTTGAGCAAACATTTCGGGAAAAAGTGACTGTATGATGACAGTTTGAAATTACAGCGAAAATACAAGACTTGAAGTGTCATGCAGAGACTAAAAAGCATGAAACTGCAATTCCGTTTAAAGATATTACACCGCTGACACCTGCTTTCAGAACTACACCGATTAATGAATCATGAAAAGTTGAAGAATCTGTCGCAATGTTTTTAAGTTGTCATTGTGCAATTTCGAAATGTGACTATTTGTTTGATTTGTTTAAAAACAGTAATTCTGACAGTCAAGTTATTAATGACGTAAAAATGCATGGCAGCAAGTGTACACATATTATAAGAAATACTTTACTTTCTTACTTTGAACAAGATTTGATCTATGAAATTTCTACAAATAAATATGGTTTTTTATTAGACGAATCGACTGACATTTATGTACGAAAGTGATTGCTGTGTATGTTATCAATTACAGCAACAATAAAGACACAGTAGTTTCTACATATCTTGGAAAAGTGTGATTGAGATTGCAAACAATTAGACTTAAAGAAATTGGCTGCAATTGGTACCAATAATGCCTCAGTGATGGTTGGTATCAACAAAGAAGCTTACGCCAAACTGAAGGAAATGTCACATCTTTAATCCTTATAAAATGTATGTGTCATTCATTGCAACTAGCATTATCACATGCTTCATCTGAATGTTTACCAAGGAATTTTGATTACCTTATATCTGAAACACAAAACTGGTTCTCCAAATCATTTGTCAGACAACAGCAATACAATAACTTATATAAAATCTTAAATGATGGTTTCGCTCACTGAAAATTCTGTCGGACTGCAAAACTAGATGGTTATCAATTCAACCAGCTGTTAAAATAATTGTGAACCAGTGGTTGGAGTTGAAGATACGCTTCGAAATTACAAGACTAAGTTAAAAGTGTTACACAGCTGTAATACTATATGAAATGTACACTCATTAAAAAAATGGCACTCCTTCTCATTTTAGAACTACTGTAATGGAAGAGCAAAAAGTTAATAAACTGTTCGAATCTAAACATGTTGATTAAGGGTTAAAAAAAGTCAGTATTTTCGCATTTGATTGTGTCCAACACCAGAAACGGTGGACTATTATGAAAAATATGGGGTTTCCAGCGGTTTTAGTGCATTAATTGAAAATCTTTATCACGAGCAACAAGCAGCCATCAGAGCAGCTGGTGAAACATCTGATTGGTTCGAGCTACAAAAGGGGGTGAGGTAGGGGTGCATTCTCTCACCATATCTATTCAAAATATACGCAGAAAATATAATGAGAAATGTCAAAAATTACAAGACTTGTGACAGTTATGATCCGCTTAAAATTGGTGGCCACCTTATTCCGGAACTCAGCTACGCAGATGACACAGACCTCCTTTCGAACAGCGTAAAGGGAATAGAAAATTAAATATTGTCTGTCCAAAAGCACAGTGAAGATCAAAATTTGTTCTTGAATTAAAAGAAAACGAAAATAATGTACACATATAAAACTGGCTGTCACCCAAAAATAACAATAAATTATGAAGAAATTGAAAATGTCACAAACTTTGAATATCTAGGCTCTATAATAAACAGCAATGGAGACTGTTCGACATAAATTAAAACGAGAATGGCCATAGACATGCAAAGATTAAACAGCCTTAAAAGTCTATGGTTGAGCACCAGCAAGGAGATAAAAATTAGAATTGTGTGGCTACACACGGATGTGAGTCGTGGACTATTTCTCAGTCCTTAAAAAAAAGAGAATAGGGGCTTTTGAGCTGAAATGCCATAGAAAGATTCTCAGTTATCGTGGACAAAGAAAAGCAGAAATATTGACATCTTAAAAGATCTGAGCATCAAGGAATATTGGCTAATAAACGGCATCCTGTCTCGGAAACTGAAATATTTTGGTCATATCAAGCGCCACGACGGATTGGAAAACATTATAGCAAAAGGCTTGGTACCAGGAAGGAGGGGCAGGGGCCGACCGACACGAAGATGGGCACAGGATATAAGTGACTCCTTGAGTATAAAAGTACATGAGGCGGGAGAACTGGCGAGAGACCGAGTTTCTTTCAGGCAAACTGTGATGAGAGCGACGTTCTGCAAAGGACCTGCTACATGATGATGGTGATGAGTTTCGATAAGCCAAGATAATTTTCTACTTTAAAGTCATGATCGCCTTGCTGAAGTTATTCCGCGCTAGCTGTATTTTGAGTTGCCAGGAATTGTATACAATGGAGGATTCTTGTCAAACTATCACGAATTTCAAAACCATGACGTAAAGTCTGGTTGAGAGTTTTGCCCCCTTTCCTAGATTCTCATTTCTGAGGTCTGAAGCTGGCTTCTGTGAGTTGTTGTCCATGACTTACACATGTAGGCCAGGACTGGGCGCATAGGTAGAGCAGTAGACAGCCATGTGTTTCCTCTTGTTAATTTATCTTTTGCTGAGCAACCCTCGGTTATGCCCTGGAAAAGTCTCCCATCTATTGTTTTCGAGCAGCCACCTCTGACTTAATGCTTCATTTTTGGTTTGTTAAATCTCCAATGCATTTGAACTGGTTGACCTGCTCCAATACAAATCATCCCATCACGATCTGGGGGATGAATTTTCCTCTCTTTAGATCACAAATGTTTTAGTTAGGAGATACTGGTGGTCATGTGGCTACTTCATACATTTAGGAAAGCCTGGAATGAAAGAAATCTACCAAAAGAGCCATTATAGTATCAATATGGAAAAGAAAAGGCAAAAGGCAAGATTGTAACACTTATAGAGGCATCTCCTTTTTAAGCCACGTAGGTAAAATGTTTGCCAAGATTCTGGAACAACAAATTAGATCCGATGTAGAACCGATTCTGAGCCTAGCACAGGTCGGATTCAGGAAAGGAAGAGGGTCTACTGAGGCTATTTTCGCTCTATGGCAACTTAGCGAAAAGACAACAGAACACAGACACCAAATTAACATCGCTTTTATAGATAAAGAAAAGGCTTTTGACAGAGTGAACAGAGATTAACTTTGAGATGTCCTTGAAAACTATGATATAAATGAAACAGTGCTAGACTGTGTAAGGGCTATTTATGGAGAAAGTGAAAGCGCCATTTGAACACGAGCTGGCCTCACAGACTGGTTCCCAGTAACATCAGGAGTTGGGCAAGGGTGGTATCTTTCAGCTTTATTTTTTTAAATGTTTATCGACAATATAAATAAAATAGATATAACACCACCAGATGTCGATAAACAGACGGACTTCAATGAGCTGCTTTTTGCCGACGATCAGTGCATCTTCCACAGTGAAAGTAAACAGCTACGGGACCACATAAACCAACTACAGAACAGTTGTCCTAAACATCACATAAGGTCAATACTGGGGAAAAAAGTCATGAGATTATGTAGAGAGCAACAAACCATCGACATAAACATCAAAGGCAAATGCAAGAATTTTAATATTTGGGAAGCATCTTTACACAATGGTAAAATAGACAGAGAAATATAAACGGGAATTCAACAATATCACGTACCAACTTGCTCCAATTTAAAAACACCCAGCTATCTCAAAAGAGACAAAAGCAACAATTATAAATACAATATTTATACTGACTTTAGGTTACCAATGTCAGACTTGGACATTGACAAAACAACACGAAAGAAAAAAACCATCCATGAGATGAGATGTTTGGGAATGGTTGTGAATAAAACCAGAAGAGATAAACTGAGAGACGATGTGATCACAATAACTGTTGGAACAACACCCATCGTCAAATTTATTGAGAAACAAAGAATAAAATGGTTTGGCCATCTAATGAGAATGAAACTAACGATGCCAGTAGCAAGAGCGTACAACCCGAGAATCAAAACACTAAGAAGTGGATTAAGACCAAGAATACTATGGACTGAAGGAGTCACTGACACCTCGAGACTGGATAACATCACGGCATCTCAAGCGACTGAGCGCGCCCTGGCTCGGCTGTCGATCGTCTGGTGAACTGCGACTCTGCGACGCCTAGCGGTAGAAGTAGATAGTGATAAAAGAAAGATGATTGGTCATCCCTTTCTTCTTGAGTTCTTCCCTCAAGACATCCATACACTTTATTATCCTTTAAATTGTACTTGCGAAGGAATTAAACAGGGTTCATAATTATCCACTATAATGTCTTTAAAAATAGCACCCAAATTGAACAACGGCTAATCATAATGTAAAAAAAAAAAGTTTTACCTACCACCCTGCCCCTCCCCTAAGGCCCAAGAGCGCCAGATACCCTAGGCTGCTATGGTCGCCAAATTACCTAGCTACGCCCCTGACCTTCTAAGAAGTTTGATTAGGGTAGCCGTAACGGGCCCCATCAAATACTGCCTGGTATACTCTGCAATTCTGTAAGGTTAAGGAACGCCCATGCCACATTTGTGAGAAACCCTGTAGCAGGTCATATCTCACATCGTGTCGGACAGGTCACGTTGAAAGTAAAGATGTAGGTCAGGTTCGCCGACCTAGTTCCACTCCAACCATACCTAACGAGACAAAAGACTACAATAGCAGAATCTGGTGCAAAAGTGACAGAGTTCAATGTCTACAATGGCTGCAGAAGTCGAAAGCTTAGAAAGTATTTTAGAAGAATTTATACCCACTGAAAAACAGAAATTTGTGAAGCATCTACTGTATGGACAGGAGCTATCGTGAGTATAATAATAACAATAGTCAAGCCTGCGCTGGTTTGTTAGCGAGAACAGACCTATTTCCCAGTAAATGTAATATCATAACAAGTGAATGTGCCTAATTGCAAATTATTGTTAAATTTTGTTGGAGCAGAGATGTATAATGTCGCTCGTTGTACGTTCCTGGTGGGGTTGAACTTTATTGATTCACAAACCTTTCCTTACAGAAGTATTGGGCACTCTTCCGAATACCGGTCCCAAATAATTCACTGTGAAAACAAGCTATCCTCTGAATAACGGTCGTAAATTATCGAGGCGGAAAATATACCCTAACAGGGCCTCAGTCACGCGTTAGTTGCTCACTCCCGGGGGACTATAACGCCACCGCCGAATTGTTAACTTTCGGCAACTTCCGCCACCGCCGAGAGTGTCCCAGATGCCGCTCAGGTGGCGTAGATTGGAGCTAAACTAGATGGCTAGGACTCACGAGCAAATAAAATGAAGGAAGCTGCAGGAGATGCGGTAGCTGCTGCTCGTGAGTGTCCTAGCCATCTAGTTTAGCCCCAATCCATGCCGCGTGAGCAGGGTGGGGGACACTCTCGGCCTGAAAACATCCCTTTGAGAGCCTCAAGGGGTTATGTAGTAAACAAATTTAGTTCATCATCAGTTTCCACTTCTGCCGTTATTGCTCGATGGATCACAATGTTTAGACGTTGAGCTAAGCGTCGTGGGGAGGAATATTTTTTTATCCATTTGTTAAGCGCCGTGGGAAGGAGTATTTTTTTTATCCATTAAAGAGGCGTGGGGAGGAATAGTTTTTGATCCATTGTTTATATTACCAGTGACTCACCTTGTGGGTCCTAGGGCCACATGTTTTAGGAGGAAAAAAAAGAATAGATCCACTGCCACCTAAAAAGCATGTTGTAAAAAGTAACTAATGAGGACTTTGCTGAAATCGGATGTGTTGGGGCGAAAGGTGCAGATACCGCAGCCTAGCTGTAAAACACAACACAACGTGCCAACTGCCCTTTTAACGAAAAAGAAAGAAGATTACCTTCCCCTGACATGACCATTGAGCATCTCGCCGCCGCTATCGCAGCCTTGCTGTAAACCACATGACAGAGTGAGAAGCGCAGATATTGCAACCTAGCTGTAAATCACAATATAACATGCCAACCACCCTTTTAAGGGTTAAAAAAAAAAAAAAACTATCACACGGCAGGGAATAGAACACAGCGTGACAGGCGGAATACTTACAACTGTACTACAGGAGACTCTAGAGTTTGATTCACATGAACTTATATAATAACGCAAAACATAGTTTGTAGTCTTCCTATTCCAGATTTTTAACTATATGACCTCTTGAGGCCCTGAATGGGATTTTTTTTTTTTTAGCAGTGACTAATTTGAGACCTGTATTCAGAAGAGTGCCAAAGTATTGTAACAATAGTAATTAGTATTATAGTGAGAATAAAAGAGAAAGCTTGGAGCTAAAGGGGTGATGATGATGGCTAAATAAATAAAAAAAGGGTGCTTATAGTGATAAACAAAGATTAAATATGTGAATAAGAAAACAATAATGATATCAGTAGTAGCGAATAGAGGATTCGTAACAAAGATAGGGTTGTTGACTAAAAAAAAAATGATAGTTGCAGCATCTAGGCTTTTGGGGAAAGAAATAATGATGACAAAAAGACTATGACAACATACATATTGCAAAAGTACTATAAAAACAAACATGATCATGCAGAAAATAATGACAAGTATAGTGTTGGCTTATATAGTACCAAAATAAGAGAAAGCTTCGGATGAAACAGATACAAATTATGGTGATGACAAAGTTATGATGATAGTAGAACATTACATTATAGGGATAATTTTTTTTTAATATCCAGAAACCATGAGTTGTTAACCCTTTGGCTCAGTATTATGGATATCGCAACCCTTCAGCCTTGATTCCCATGACAGATACCGTAAATCTCGGAGAAATGTGGCTTTTCTTCCTACCCCCGGGCGTGAACCCAGACTGCGGCGCAGTCAGGTTTAACTAACTGAGCTAGTAAGGTGGGCATTCTTTAAAAGTTAGTTGCGTATCCTTTACAGGACGTTGCAGAACCAACCCTAACATCCCCTGGCTATTGTGGTTTTTCTAGGCAATTCACATCCAGTAGTTTGCCATTGCTTTCTGGACGGTCGGCTTTCTTGATACCACTGTCAAAACCAACGCAAGGCGTATTGCCCGCAGCTGGGATCGAACCTGGCATCCCGGCATTATGAAGCGAAGCGTTCGCATTGACTTACCCACAGAGCCAACTAGATGGGCATTACGGGGATTACAAACAAAATGGTGATGGTAATGCTAACAATAAATAATCTTATAAAATCTTTTCTTCTTCTTCTCCTCCTCCTCCTCCACACCTTTTCTGACTATGACCATAAAATTTTGAGGAGGCATCACTTGTGAACCTTGATGTGTACTACATAGTTGCTAGTATTTTCTGCCTTGAATATTCCATTGCTTGCATGGTGGTCCTCTTGCTTTGTTTTCATTGTTTCTCAATTACAGGGCTCTGTGTGCTGCATTATCAGGTTGTAGTCTTGACACAAGTCTCAAACATTTGATCTGTTATCTCTTGATGTAGTTAAGTACTGGTTCCATCCCAACATTTTTTCCTGGACAATTTAGTGTGACTTCATTGAGGGTTTGTGCTCCTATGCTTCCCTGGGTCAGTGGGTGGGGGTTGGGGTGGGTAGAACAAAAAGCAGAAGAAAAAAAAGGAGGAGGAGGAGAAAAAAAAAGAAGAGGATGACGAGGAAGAAAAATGCTAAAAGTTACTAATTATGAAAACTCTTGAAAAGTCAGAAACCTGTTCCATTTGCCAGTTTGACTTTCTGATTACATTTAGTTATGTAGTTGTTTTCTTTCACAGAAGCCTTGATTTGCCAGATGAGGCCAAATCTCTTGCACAGAGGCAGAACTTTGAGTTAAAAGGTTATCTGTTTCCTGCTGCTCCAGAAAGCACTCGGGCACCAAGAATTGTGCGGATTGCAGGTATCCAGAATAAGATTGTTCTTCCAACGACAGAACCAGTTCTTGTGCAGGTTGTTTGTTTGTTACATTTTAATTTGGCATTTGCCTATTATATCTTTGATATATTTTGTAGGGCTTTACCGAATAGTGATTTTCACTATTCAGCCGAAAACGAATAGTGTCTCATCATCATAAGGTGCCTTGCTGACTGGCGTAGGTGATTATGTCCTGCCACAATCTATGATCTCCTGCAGCATGTATTAGTTAGTGTGCTGACACACCTTTATACCATGCAACAAGACTATCAAGAATCTTCTATCGTCTTCCTCTATCCCTCCTTCCAAAGATCTTTCCAGTGGTCACCGCATGTTCCATTTTTCCTCTTCTCATAACATGGCTGAAAAATGACGACAGTCTCCTTCTGATGTCTGTGATTAGTTGTCTTTGGGCTCCCCCGCCTCTTTCAAAACCATCGTTCACTTGGCCGCTCGTTTGATGTAATTTAAACGCACCTTTATATTCTCGTTAGTAGTATCTATATATTTGACTTAGGCAAAGATACCCTGAAAGAATGAAAAATGCATGATCTCTCTCTCTCTCTCTCTCGCATACACACACCCACACACAAGCGACAAAAAAAAAGAAGGCATTGCCTTTAAATATGAGTGCTTACTTGATGAGGCTAACAGTTACTAATGTACAGACCACATTTTCTACTTTAAAATTTCAGCCAAAATGTAATCACAACCTTATTTATCAGTGGCACCATCATGAATACAGATAGAGGATTGGTCGCATCTTAAGATAAATACACAGACAATTTTTAGCACGCTGGGGTTGATACACTTTGAGAATAAATTAGGGAGGAAAAAAACTGATTTCCACAGTGGCGAGGAAAGACAATTTGAATTTTAACTTTTAAGTATCTTCATGCCTTCTTTAATAATGTCACAATTTATAGCAGACTTCTTGATTTTCACCATGGCACCCCTGGCATACGCACCCAGTTTAAGAACCTCTGCTGTAATGCCTTGGTTGAGTCAGCAGGCAAAGACCTTGCCAGCTGCTGTACCATGCAACTGGGTCGCAGTTTCCCCCGCTATGACAGTCTTATGCAACATCAACTATTGTGTTAATGAGAGAGTTATTTCAGTCCATCGCAGTGTATGCAGAAACGAGTGTAAGGTAACCATTATTCGTATTCAGCCCAACCACAAGTATTCGGCCAAATACCAAATAGTTATTAGGTCCACTATTCAGCCCCGAAGCAAATATTCGGTACAGCCCTAATATTTTGTAATAGCCATACAATTTCCTCATCCCTCAGATACTGGATGTCAGCATAAATACCAAGTGAAACGTTAGGATAATAATGTTCTTTCTTCAGATCTGTTTACTTTCAGAAAAGGGTTTTACAAAAGGTGTGGGGAGAGGGGGGGGGGGGGAGGGGGGACTTAAAGAAATGTCCATCTGCCACCTTTCCATAACCTGCTACAGGATATCCTAGAAGGCCTGGTAAACATTTCTACAGCAACAAACTGTTTACAAGGATTAATGAAGCTGATATTATCAACATTTCAGCCAGTGGGTGCTTGAATTTGTTGACACCATCACTTGAACGACATGGCATAAGTGCTAAAACATAGTGTCAGATTGATCACCAAATGATAATTTGGCTAAAACTCAGATTAGGTCATCATCATCATTAATTTCCACTGCTGCTGTTAAGCATCAAGGGAAGGAACAGTTTGTGATTGATGGGCAGTGATGGTTATTTCATTCTGTATCCATGTAGCTGATTAATGTCATCGGTCCATTTTATTCTTGCTTTAACTTCAGATCTGTTCATGTATACCGCCTGTGTTGTTAGCTTTTCTGTCTGTGCAAAGTGTTGTTTCCACAGTCTGTTTGATATCATTTCTAATTTTGTCTCGGATGGTTAAGTGGCTTTTCTCAGGCGTCTCATTACAGAGGTATTAGTCTAATCTAGCACTGGTAGCACGGTGTTGGTATGAATATGCTGTTTATAATCTGTTTCCTGGCACTTCTACTTATGTTTGGACTGGCTCGTTGAAATCTTGTTCCTAATTCCCGGTCTATTCTCCCATCCACAGAGAATATACTTCCTAGAAATTTTAATTCTTTAACTTGCTTCAGCCAAGTACCATTCAACACTGTATATAGTGGACTAGGAAGTTTACTGATCCATGTTGTTTAAGTTTTTGGTCATATTTACTGTCATTTCATATCTTCTGAATGTTGAAATTAGACTGTTCGAATGGTCATGCAGTCTACTCTCCTGACTGTAGAACAGGCACTGGTTATCTGGAAACAGTAGCTCCAATTATTTAAAGGAGATAATACATGTTCAGGATTTCAATAATTACTAAGCAAAGTGAAAATTGCTACTCTACAAGATATCATTGTGCATCAGTTTGGCATCGATCAAAGATACAGCCAAGGATCAAAGATACAGTCATGGATCAAAGATACAGTCAAGAATCAAAGATACAGTCAAGTATCAAAGATACAGTCAAGGATCAAAGATAAGTCAAGGATCAAAGATACAGTCAAGGATCAAAGATACAGTCAAGGATCAAAGATACAGTCAAGGATCAAAGATACAGTCAAGGATCAAAGATACAGTCAAGGATCAAAGATACAGTCAAGGATCAAAGATACAGTCAAGGATCAAAGCTACAGTCAAGGATCAAACATATGGTCAAGGATCAAAGATACAGTCAAGGATCAAACATACAGTCAAGGATTAAGCATATGGTCAAGGATCAGAGATACAGTCAAGGATCAGAGATACGGTCAAGGATCAAACATACGGTCAAGGATCAAAGATACAGCCAAGGATCAAAGATACAGTCAAGGATCAAAGATACAGTCAAGGATCAAAGATACAGTCAAGGATCAAAGATACAGTCAAGGATCACAAATACAGTCAAGGATCACAAATACAGTCAAGGATCAAAGATACAGTCAAGGATCAAAGATACAGTCAAGGATCAAACATACGGTCAAGGATCAAACATACGGATGGTCAAGGATCGAAGATACAGTCAAGGATCAAAGATACAGTCAAGAATCAAAGATACAGTCAAGGATCAAAGATACAGTCAAGGATTAAAGATACAGTCAAGGATTAAAGATACAGTCAAGGATCAAAGATACAGTCAAGGATCAAACATATGGTCAAGGATCAAATATACAGACAAGGATCAAACATATGGTCAAGGATCAAAGATAAAGTCAAGGATCAAAGATACAGTCAAGGATCAAAGATACAGTCAAGGATTAAAGATACAGTCAAGGATCAAAGATACAGTCAAGGATCAAACATATGGTCAAGGATCAAATATACAGTCAAGGATCAAACATATGGTCAAGGATCAAAGATACAGTCAAGGATCAAACATACCGTCAAGGATCAAAGATACAGTCAAGGATCAAAGATACAGTCAAGTATCAAAGATACAGTCAAGGATCAAAGATACATCATCAGTTCTCGTTATACCTAGTGGCACATGAGGCTTCAGAGAGGACTTTCCATGCTTTCCTGTCCTGTGCAATCTTCAATGCAGTTTTCCATGTCAAAGGTGGAAGGTGGACAGCTTGTGTGCATCCTTTTTGGTCATTCTCCAGCAATTCCGCTCCATAAAGAAGTACTGGCAAAATGATGCTCTTGTAAAGTTGGAGGTTTGTTCCTCTGCAGTAATTGTTGGATTTCCAGATTTGCCTCATCCTTTCAAAAGCAGCTCTAGCTTTGTTCAGGCATGACTGTATGTCTTTCTCTGTCCCTCCCAGTAGGGACAGCACACTGCCAAGATATGTGAAATGTTCTACATATGGTCATTGGTTGTTGGTTTGAACTGCTTGTCATGATCTTAGTTTTCTTTGTATTTTTTCTCAGTTCCACCATTTCTGCTGTGCAGTGTAGTCTGTTACTTTTCTCTTGTATATGTTCATGTTTATGTGATAGGAGTGCTATATCATCTGCAAAATCAAGGTCCTCAAGCATGGTGAATGGAGTCCATTGTATGCCTCCTAATATCCTGTCTACTGTGTTCTTTAGTATCCAATCAATCACAAGGTTGAAGAGGAGAGATGACATAACACATCCCTGTCTTACACCTGTCTTTACTGGGAAAGATGTATTGTAATTTTTTTTACTGCAGGAAAAGTCTTTATAGTAGAGAGCAATTATGTTGACTATTTTTTTCTGGAATTCCATAATGTTGTAACATTTTCCACAGACCGTCTCTATGGACACTCTCAAAAGCTTTCTCAAAGTCCACAAAATTAATATATATACTTCTCTGCCATTCATTCATAGATACAGTCAAGGATTAAAGATAAGTCAAGGATCAAAGATACAGTCAAGGATTAAAGATACAGTCAAGGATCAAAGATACAGTCAAGGATCAAAGAGACAATCAAAACTTGAACATTAAGAAACAGTCCTTGATTATGTTCCTTTGACTCATTCTATCCTAAGAAATAGGGGGTCATGTGGCCGATCGGCTAGATGCTTGCCGCAGATCGGAAGGTCGTGGGTTCGCTCCCTGGCGGAGCCGGACTATTTTAAAAAATGACCTTGTTTCCCAGGTCGACCCAGCCTTGAGTGGGTACTGGGTACAGTCCTGGGAAGTAAAATGGCAGGCGTGATGCTGACCATATCACCCATCTTGTGCCGATTGGTCTATAAAAATGTAGGTCTAGCCCTATATGCCCTATATGCCTAAAGGCGTGGAAAAGGGTCCTGTTTTCCTTTTTATCCTAAGAAGTAAATGCTTGAAATTGTGCGCATCTAAAAGTTTTGAACTAGAAGACAAACATGGTTAAATTAGTAGCTGGGAGAGAGTGGTCTATCTTACAACTGAATAGATTAAGAGAAGTTGAGAAATCTTCTCACAACAGGAGCAATCAGTAGAAACTCCTGAAGTACTGATTGGTTCTGAATGTTAAAAGCTGTATTGAGACAATTCTATTATATTGAAGTGCATCAGGGACATCCAGCAGATTAGTGAGAAATTATTTGCATAATTAGGTTTTGTAAAATTATGGGAACACCATAACAGATTTAAAAAAAAATAATGTCTTACAAGAAAGACATTCACAAAAATAACTGATTATCTGCATCAAAGGGAGACAATTGTTATTCCAAGGGCACATCGTGAGAATGGAAAAATGGACAGAGTAGATTATGACAACAAGAAAGCTGGAGAGAAAGAGAGTAGGGAAGGTCAAAAGAAGACATTAGGTGGCGACCATGACATAGAGGACTTCTGTGTAAGAAATGATGGTGTGCAAGACAGAAGGCTGTGGAGAGGCGTGACAACCAACACCAAGGGGAGAGACTATAAGAAAATAATCACCATTTAAACGAATTGTTTTACTGATATATATTTTAATATATATAATATATTTTAAACAACCTTTCAAGGCACAAGTAACAGAACAAGCACATTCGGAATATGATATAACCTGTGCTTTGTTGTTACGTTGCTTGCTATAGACCTTGATGCCAAACATTTGTATAGTCTTTCTATAATTATCATTTCTTTTTTCAAGAGAGATGCATTGTTTGCACGAATCTCTGAATTGATCAATTGTGCTGCTCTTTGTGGGGTCAATGTGCTTTGTCTTCAAGAAGTGTGGAGTAAGTACACAACTGTCAATGTTTTCTTCTTTTATAGCTTTTATATTTTTAGTTTATATCTGACAGTAAATGTTATCTTTTTATTAGAATTGAAATTGACATTTTTCACTTTAATATTATTGTCATATTTTTTCTATAGAACAGTGAGATTCAAAATTGTTCTTTGATGATTTCAGTTCTTAAATCTGTTGAAAGTTTTTATTCTCTTTCTCTTTCTCTCTCTCTTTCTCATATATATATATATTGCATTCTTTTGTTCAGAATCCATTACTATGATTGAATCTGTTCTGTTGCTGTGAGAAGAAAGTGTCAGCAAAGTTAAAATAATTGATGTCCCTATGGTATGAGGCAGATGCTGTTAGAATCATATTTCTGTAGACTAACTAGATGTGCTCATCATCATGACAGCCACCTTTACTTTCCAGGATATTTCCTGGTACCCATGTAAGACTGGATTGGCGAAAATCCTGTGAAGAATTTTTTTTATGACATGTGTTTCTTGAAGATGGCTATTTTGTTATTTCTAAATGTGTTCCTGTAAAGATTTCATATTATTTTTTTTTTAAATTTTCAGATAGATTGATTTAAAAATAATTTTTTTAAATGATGTCTGTGTTTAGAAAGTGTAGCCCCTGTTTTCATCTGTAGCCATGCCATTTGCATTCTGCACAAGAGAGAAGTTACCATGGAGTGAGTTTGCTGAGTCGGCACTGCATGGACCAACAACAAAACTTTTGCAAGAGGTCAGTTGTGAAATTTGAAATAGCCAGTGATTCAAATACATTTTTGCATAGACAGTTTAAATCACCTTTCTGTATGTTTTCTACCCCTTCAGGCATATTAGGTACACAGAGCTAGACCCATGTTTTATAGGCCAGTCAGCACTCAGTGGCTGATGTGACAACATGACACCAACCACCTCTAATGTCTCACGGCTTTCCCTGGTAACCATTTAAGGCTGAGTCGGCCTGGGAGCTAAGGTCACTGTTTACAAGCCTGGCTCCATCAGGACTTGAACCAATAACATCTGGATCCACAGGCAAGAATCCAGCAGCTGCACCATGGTGGCTTTGTGTGTGCTTTGAAAAGACTAATCGGTTTTTCTCACTTATAATTTTCACGTGTTGATACAACTTAACTCTTTCAGGCCCATGAATTTTTCAGACTTGGCCCACATTAATTTCCCTTTACAAAAATGGCAGATGGGGTAGTGTAAAAAAAAAGGCAATAGAGAAAGTAATCACTACAAAATTATATATTTTGTAAAGAGAAATAAATATACATTTTAAGTCTGATGATAAGTATATGTTTAATACTGTTATAGTTACTTGGAAAGAAGAAATTCAGGTGTTAATTTCACAACAAAATTTTTAAAAAAAATTCTTCACTTACCATGGATATTCAGCGATACGAGCAATGAATATCCAAATTGGAGAATAACACTTTAAAGTTTGTTCAATTCCCTAACATAATCCAAAGTTATAATGAGTTTCTGGATTAGTTTAGCACTCAGAGGCTATAAGTTCTCACAGAGCGCTAAACAAAATTTCACAGAAAAAATGGCACAAAAATTGACCATTACACAAGCGCTATTTACTAATTACTTTGTACAGTTAATTACAGACTGTAGCTACAATGATTTCAATGTAGCTTAGCCATAGTATGCTACTGTCTATTTGTTTAGAGCACCTTCCTTCTCTTACACCCTAAATATAGTAGCAATGGAACATTCTCTATGTCCAATTCATCAGAATCACTAGATTTCCAAACATCTGATCACTTAGCTGCCGTTGGTATAAATTAACCGTCCGAATCACTTTCAGGAAAATATAAATTTTCATTATTATTTTTAGAATTGAAAACCTCTGACTGAAACAATTTCTGAGCTTTGGCCACAGAAAGACGCATAAGGCAGACTGTACTTGTGGTTGGAACACTGGTGTCCATGGCGTCAAACACGAAATTACAAAATGCAAGGTCTGGAAAGGAATGAGACCAGTTTGCCACTACACGTGGCTGACTAAAGGCTCCTATACAAAGAAACATTTTTAGAGTAACCTTCCCTGAATACTTTAAAAGTAGCTCCGAACATTAGAAACAAATACAGAGTGTGTGTGAAGCAATATGTACGGAACACATGATTGACACTCAGTGTTGATGGGCAAATTGGAACTTCTCAGTCAACACTCCCAGCATTGTTCAGGCCTTAAAGAGTTAATTGCCAGATATTTTCAAGTTTGTTGTAAATTATACTGACCTTATATAAATATGTATGGAAAACCAAATTAATTTTGGAAAATGGCAAGTCTGTGTGATAAATGTCTCTAAAATTAAATTGTTTTGAAAGGAGACAAACATTTATTGTGACAATATCAGAACAAAACACATGATACCATACTGAAAGTACAAAAACGGGTAATCCTTTGTATAACACCCGGGGTGTTCAATCTCAGCGAAATCTTGTTTTTAAAAATTGGACCACATTTAAATTAGCACTTACATGACACCCCAAAAGTCATGAAATATAATATTGCCAAACAACTTGCAAGTGCATACAAATTAGTAGTACACAAAAGAACTGTATATTAAAAAAAAAAAAAATTCAACAAACACCAATGTAGCAACAACAACAAAATACTTAAAGTCTAACTACATATTTAAATCTGTTTATATCCTCTTTATGTGGCTGTGACACAAGTCATTCACAAGTGACCTCCATTGCTGCAAGTCTGCTGCTCTTCTGTATTTTACATTTCTTGATTTCCATTTCTGCTGTCCTTCTCCAGGTTTCCTTAGGTCATTCTTGTTTCCTTTTTTTTTATCCGTCTGAAGGTTGTCATTGTCAAAGTGTAATGAAGCATTCTGTAATCATGTCAAAGCCATCTCCCTCATCTTCATTTGCCATATTTACATATGCCACTTATGAAAATATACCACAGTGTGGAGATGCAGATGGTAAGTTACCTTGTGCAGTTATAGTTTCATATTTTTTCACCAGTCAGTTATCACATACTCCAGTCTTTTCATTGTGCTTACATTACAGCTTGCCATCCGGCACAACATGGTTATCGTTTCTCCGATTTTGGAGCGGGATGAAGAGAGAGGCGATGTCCTGGCAAACACTGCTGGTAAACTGTTTTTCTACAAAGTTCCTGAAGTATTTTTGTTGTTTGTTGCACTGTTCCTTTTGTTTTTTGTTTAAAAAGTTTTAATAATTGGCTGTTATTTTACACGTTAAAAATGTAAACATAAGTACTTTTCTGTTTGTTTTCTGAATACAGACCACAGTGATTGTTATGTGCTGTTGCTAATTTATTTATGATTAATTATTAAAATATTGATTCCGTCATTCAGTGGTGATCTCCAACACAGGACAGGTCCTAGGAAAGTCCAGGAAGAACCATATACCCAGAGTTGGAGATTTTAATGAGGTATTAAATGTCTTTTTTTTTTTTAAGATGAAATTCACAGCTCATATATCAGCCTTCCATAACATTTTGTTTGGCTTTTAAGGCGATGCTTTCTTTTTAAAAACTAAATTGTATACCATTAATTTCTATGTTTTGGTTCAGTATAGAGTTTTATATTGAAGACCTCAATCGAAAAAATACTGTGAAACTGACTGTGCACTCAGTGGCTGCTATGGAAACCAAGATAAACAACGGCCATGTTGGATTTCTTGTGATATTTCTAAAAACACAATTTTTGGATGTACAGGCTCAACTTTTTGTATATTTATACATTCATAGCCCCTTTACACAAGTACAGAAGATTTTATATTATTTATCACTTCTTTTCTACCTAATTTTTAAACATTAAGCATAAATGTTTAGGCAATTTTGTCATGTGTGTAACATCTTGTCATGAAGACCGGGGGACTGGTGCTTAGCCAGTTTTGGCATCACCATCAGAACCACAGCATTCATGCAGCCTCCACCTCCCAGCAGATCCTGTGAAAGTATTATCACAGTTTGGAAGATGGTCTTCCTTCCTTCAGGTTCAACTGGTTTAGATTTGAAATTCTCTTACCAGTGGTTTCACACAATTGACAATATGTGGATATAACATGCTCATCTATGGAAAGTCCAGTAAGTACATGAACTGCACAGCCAACCCCAATGTGGGATGTGTGGCCTCTCGTCAGCAAAGTGCCATCAAAGCTGACAGCAAAATCCAGCACATCCTTGTCATGTAGAGTGATGCCTGACTGCTGTGCATGGACATGCCGAACATACTTCACGGTTTGAGAGAAAACCTTGTCCTCCAGATCATACTTCACGGTTTGAGAGAAAACCTTGTCCTCCAGATGATACTTCACGGTTTGAGAGAAAACCTTGTCCTCCAGATGATACTTCACAGTTTGAGAGAAAACCTTGTCCTCCAGATGATACTTCACAGTTTGAGAGAAAACCTTGTCCTCCAGATGATACTTCACAGTTTGAGAGAAAACCTTGTCCTCCAGATCATACTTCACAGTTTGAGAGAAAATCTTGTCCTCCAGATCATACTTCACAGTTTGAGAGAAAACCTTGTCCTCCAGATCATACTTCACAGTTTGAGAGAAAACCTTGTCCTCCAGATCATACTTCACAGTTTGAGAGAAAACCTTTTCTTCCAGATCATACTTCACAGTTTGAGAGAAAACCTTTTCCTCCAGATCATACTTCACGGTTTGAGAGAAAACCTTGTCCTCCAGATCATACTTCACAGTTTGAGAGAAAACCTTGTCCTCCAGATCATACTTCACAATTTGAGAGAAAACCTTGTCCTCCAGATCATACTTCACAGTTTGAGAGAAAACCTTGTCCTCCAGATCATACTTCACAGTTTGAGAGAAAACCTTGTCCTCCAGATCATACTTCACAGTTTGAGAGAAAACCTTGTCCTCCAGATCATACTTCACAGTTTGAGAGAAAAACCTTGTCCTCCAGATCATACTTCACAGTTTGAGAGAAAACCTTGTCCTCCAGATCATACTTCACAGTTTGAGAGAAAACCTTGTCCTCCAGATCATACTTCACAGTTTGAGAGAAACCCTTTTCCTCCAGAACATACTTCACAGTTTGAGAGAAAACCTTGTCCTCCAGATCATACTTCACAGTTTGAGAGAAAACCTTGTCCTCCAGATCATACTTCACGGTTTGAGAGAAAACCTTTTCCTCCAGATCATACTTCACGGTTTGAGAGAAAACCTTGTCCTCCAGATCATACTTCACAGTTTGAGAGAAAACCTTGTCCTCCAGATCATACTTCACAGTTTGAGAGAAAACCTTGTCCTCCAGATCATACTTCACAGTTTGAGAGAAAACCTTGTCCTCCAGAACATACTTCACAGTTTGAGAGAAAACCTTGTCCTCCAGAACATACTTCACAGTTTGAGAGAAAACCTTGTCCTCCAGAACATACTTCACGGTTTGAGAGAAAACCTTGTCCTCCAGATCATACTTCACGGTTTGAGAGAGAACCTTGTCCTCCAGATGATACTTCACAGTTTGAGAGAAAACCTTGTCCTCCAGATCATACTTCACAGTTTGAGAGAAAACCTTGTCCTCCAGATGATACTTCACTGTTTGAGAGAAAACCTTGTCCTCCAGATCATACTTCACAGTTTGAGAGAAAACCTTTTCCTCCAGATCATACTTCCGAGTTTGAGAGAAAACCATTTCCTCCAGATAATACTTCACAGTTTGAGAGAAAACCTTGTCCTCCAGATGATACTTCACAGTTTGAGAGAAAACCTTGTCCTCCAGATCATACTTCACAGTTTGAGAGAAAACCTTCTCCTCCAGATCATACTTCACAGTTTGAGAGAAAACCTTTGCCTCCAGATAATACTTCACAGTTTAAGAGAAAACCTTGTCCTCCAGATCATACTTCACAGTTTGAGAGAAAACCTTGTCCTCCAGATCATACTTCACAGTTTGAGAGAAAACCTTGTCCTCCAGATCATACTTCACAGTTTGAGAGAAAACCTTGTCCTCCAGAACATACTTCACAGTTTGAGAGAAAACCTTTTCCTCCAGATCATACTTCACAGTTTGAGAGAAAACCTTGTCCTCCAGATCATACTTCACAGTTTGAGAGAAAACCTTGTCCTCCAGATCATACTTCACAGTTTGAGAGAAAACCTTGTCCTCCAGATCATACTTCACAGTTTGAGAGAAAACCTTGTCCTCCAGATCATACTTCACAGTTTGAGAGAAAACCTTGTCCTCCAGAACATACTTCACAGTTTGAGAGAAAACCTTGTCCTCCAGATCATACTTCACAGTTTGAGAGAAAACCTTGTCCTCCAGATCATACTTCACAGTTTGAGAGAAAACCTTGTCCTCCAGATCATACTTCACAGTTTGAGAGAAAACCATGTCCTCCAGATCATACTTTACAGTTTGAGAGAAAACCTTGTCCTCCAGATCATACTTCACAGTTTGAGAGAAAACCTTGTCCTCCAGATCATACTTCACAGTTTGAGAGAAAACCTTGTCCTCCAGATCATACTTCACAGTTTGAGAGAAAACCATGTTCTCCAGATCATACTTCACAGTTTGAGAGAAAACCTTGTCCTCCAGATCATACTTCACAGTTTGAGAGAAAACCTTGTCCTCCAGATCATACTTCACAGTTTGAGAGAAAACCTTGTCCTCCAGATCATACTTCACAGTTTGAGAGAAAACCTTGTCCTCCAGATCATACTTCACAGTTTGAGAGAAAACCTTGTCCTCCAGATCATACTTCACAGTTTGAGAGAAAACCTTGTCCTCCAGAACATACTTCACAGTTTGAGAGAAAACCTTGTCCTCCAGATCATACTTCACAGTTTGAGAGAAAACCTTGTCCTCCAGATCATACTTCACAGTTTGAGAGAAAACCTTGTCCTCCATTTCATACTTCACAGTTTGAGAGAAAACCTTGTCCTCCAGATCATACTTCACAGTTTGAGAGAAAACCTTGTCCTCCAGATCATACTTCACAGTTTGAGAGAAAACCTTGTCCTCCAGATCATACTTCACAGTTTGAGAGAAAACCATGTCCTCCAGATCTTTTAACTTTTAATATAATTTACTTGCTTCCTTGCAGGTTTGTATGTTCACAAAGATTATTGAACATTGTGGCACCAATTCCACAAACTAATGCAGAAAAAACAAACTGGTTGTGGATAACAAAAGATCTATCCCCATCATTACTTCGTGAAGCTAAGTACCTTCCACAAACCACTTCTTCACGACAAGAGCAGTAAACTTCTGCATGCACAACAAATCCTTGAGTTTTCTTGCTGTTAGTTTTCAAAATAAGATTACTATTTTCACATAGTGGACAACACAACGTTTTGATGATTTCATTAACAACGCTCTTGTAGACTTTTCTTTGCTTACGAGCATTTGCTAATTGTAGACTTCAAGATTTCTTAAGTTGACCGGCTAAGTGGAGTTTAAATTTCTTAGACTGAGGCGTTTTGCGATTCATAGCTGTTATGCCATTTCTGGGTAAACAATCAACCACAGAGGCCATCTTTGAGAATCAGACACCCACGTGATCAGTTTCAGCCAGCGGGAATCGCTTGTCCTGGCGGAGATCATGTTTACACCCATATATGAAAGTTTCTGGACAGTTGTAGGGGTCAATGAATCGGGGGTCAATGAAAAATGTAAAATTCCACAATCGCGATTCCTGCCGAATAGTGTAGGTGACGTAATTCTGGTTTCAACAATATATATAATACATACAGCTTTCTCCTTGTGCATATAGCGTTGCCAAGGTGCGAAACATCGCATATTTCACAACAAATTTGAATAAACAAATAATTTCACAGCTAGGGTTAGCTCATGAAAATATTAATATTGCATTAAAATAACATATTTTAGACAAAAACAGATACTCAATCTGACAAAAGACATACTAAGGTGTGTAAAAATGAACTTTTCCAAAAAATTGTCGACCTGACACAAATTTTATGTTTTGAATACCCGCACATTGCCTTAAATAGCTTGGTATTTTTAAAATTTCTATTTATTTTACTTCATGTAAACTTTTCTCAAATTTAAACATATTTATTTTAATGCAGTTATCTATGTTTAATGACATTTTTTTTCTTATAAATGATATTGAAGTTAATGAAGTTGCTGTATAATTCATCAGTTGTTACATATTTGAGGTGAAGATGATCATGTAACAGTCATGTGACTTTGTTAGGTAGCTATTTTATAAGGATATGACAGGTACTTCATTTATGAAACAATGAATAGTAACATATGTTTATTAATATTTGAATGGTATATGAAAAGTTATACCTAAAGTAGACTTTTTGCTGTTTTATTAGAAGTATGAAGTATAAATTGTTTAATTATGTGGACAATGTTATCCAAATGAAACAAACTCTGGATGGAAACTGTCTCATTAATTGTGTACAATCTTCACAGTGAAGGTTGAATGCAGTTCATCGACCTCTGTTTTTGGAAATATTACATGGTGAGGCTTTGATCTCTTCCATGGTGCAACTCTCAGACCACAGTCCTTACGCCATGAGAATGTTTTTCTTTTAAATAAACCATCACAATCGAAACCGAAACCCAGTGTATCAAAGATTCTGAAATTGTAATATACATTCACTAATTTTCACAAAAACTTAAATATTCACTTTAAAAAAAAGAACAGAAAAAAAGAAACAATATGTTAAAGGCTAACTTACTGTTACTCAAACGTATATACATCGTGTAGTCTTCTGCTCTTTGTGCCCCAATGGAACACAAGGTTTTAGGCAACTCATGCCACGTGAAAATCTCATTTGAGCTCAAAAGAATTTCAGATACAACAATATATGTGTGTAACTAAAGTCATCTTGTAAGTAAGCTTGTTTGAACCAAATCATCCCAAATTAAACCAGCTCTTTTAAACTTAATAGCAAACCCCCCCCCCCCCCCCCCCCCCCCCCGCCCCCCAAAAAAGAGAGAGAGAGACAAGTAGACACTCATAGGGACAGGCATTAAACATATAGACAGACATATGAGACAAGCCAAGAAGTCACATGATTTCCTAGTTGAATATATCACTGTTTGTAATTGTATGTAAGAAACATGATGCCCAACCCAATTATCCCAAGAAACTGCAAAACTGATACTTCTGGTTGTATCTAATTGACTGTAAATGTCACTTGTTTGTCTCTTTTCTACAATGACATGTTTACCAGATGCATAGTTAATGATATTGGCTAAATCTGCACCTGCACAGCCTTTAGGAGGTCAGGATATGAATATAGTTTTTAAAAATACCATTAGGAAAAGTTTTAAAAAAAAAGGGGGGGGGGGGCTGCGGTGTTTCCCTGTAAATCAGATGGCTTTTTCAAAGTGAAGATGGTGTCATAAAATGACATATAGCCTCATTGACGGAAGTCGTAGGTTCATGGCAGTGGTAACCTGCACACATATATTTTAAGACCCTGTGGTATCTATTCCATTTAGTGTTTCACTCTTGTCGATGTTTATTGATTCTTTCTTTAACATATCTTAATCTATCTCATCTCCTCATGTATATATATATATATATATATATATATATATATATATATATATATATATATATATATATATATATATGTGTGTGTGTGTGTGTGTGTGTGTGTGTGTGTGCGTGTGTGTGTGTGTGGGTGGAGAGTGGGGGTGTGGGTGGGGGTTTGTGTGTGTGTATGAAATTGGTTAACTGTGTAAAAATTACCCTTCAGATCAGTATCAGTGTGAGCAGTTTGTGTAGTCAGTTAAGTGATATATCTCTTGTTTGTTTATCAACAGTCCACATATTACATGGAAGGTGATACAGGACATAAAGTCTTTCAAACTCAGTTTGGTGAGTTTTCTGTTCATAGACTAGTTGGAGTATGAAAACTAAACTGTCTCTTAACCCGTTACACATATGTGTATGCACATATGCTTGCCCATAAACTGTTGCCAAGTGTTTGAAGGTTATATAATGTATGATATAATGTAAATGAAGAGTTCCAGTGAAAGCAAGAGACATTCCCTGTTGCCAAGTGTTTTAAGGTTATATAATGTATGATATAATGTAAATGAAGAGTTCCAGTGAAAGCAAGAGACAATCCCTGTTGCCAAGTGTTTGAAGGTTATATAATGTATGATATAATGTAAATGAAGAGTTCCAGTGAAAGCAAGAGACAATCCCTGTTGTGTTAGATCTTGAAGCTGCTTATAATACAGTGGCCTGTGAGATTCTGATGTCATGTCTGAGACAAGGTGGTGTGAATGTTGCAGCCTCAGCAGAAGTGACCGGTGTCTTTCAGTTGTACTGGTGTTTCATCACAACCTCTGAGGATGTGTCTTTCAGTTGTACTGGTGTTTTATCACAACCTCTGAGGATGTGTATTTCAGTTGTACTGGTGTTTTATCACACCCTCTGAGGATGTGTCTTTCAGTTGTACTGGTGTTTCATCACACCCTCTGAGGATGTGTCTTTCAGTTGTACTGGTGTTTCATCACAACCTCTGAGAATGTGTCTTTCAGTTGTACCGGTGTTTCATCACAACCTCTGAGGATGTTCTTTCAGTTGTACCGGTGTTTTATCACAACCTCTGAGAATGTGTCTTTCAGTTGTACCGGTGTTTCATCACAACCTCGGAGAATGTGTCTTTCAGTTGTACTGGTGTTTCATCACAATCTTTGAGAATGTGTCTTTCAGTTGTACCGGTGCTTCATTAAAACCTCAGAGAACATGTCTTTCAGTTGTACCAGTGTTTCATCACAACCTCTGAGGATGTGTCTTTCAGTTGTACTGGTGTTTCATCACAACCTCTGAGGATGTGTATTTCAGTTGTACCAATGTTTCATCACAATATCTGAGAATGTGTCTTTCAGTTGAACCGGTGTTTCATCACAATATCTGAGAATGTGTCTTCAGTTGTACTGGTGTTTCATCACAACCTCTGAGGATGTGTCTTTCAGTTGTACTGGTGTTTCATCACAACCTCTGAGAATGTGTCTTTCAGTTGTACCGGTGTTTCATCACAACCTCTGAGGATGTGTATTTCAGTTGTAGTGGTGTTTCATCACAATCTCTGAGGATATGTCTTTCAGTTGTACTGGTGTTTCATCACAACCTCTGAGGATGTGTCTTTCAGTTGTATTGGTGTTTCATCACAACCTCTGAGGATGTGTCTTTCAGTTGTACCGGTGTTTCATCCCAACCTCTGAGGATGTGTCTTTCAGTTGTACTGGTGTTTCATCACACCCTCTGAGGAAGTGTCTTTCAATTGTACTGGTGTTTCATTACAACCTCTGAGGATGTGTCTTTCAGTTGTACCGGTGTTTCATCACAACCTCTGAGGATGTGTCTGGGGCTGCAGTCAAATTCTTTATTTTCTGCTTTGTTTGGTATTAATGGAATGGCAGCTTGTATATAACCTCATGGTCTAGAGAAAACACTAACTTTCAAGATGTTGTGGCAAATACAAGATCTTCAGAAAGGAATGACAGGTTTGATATCATTAATGAGATTTCAGAGGTAGTTTCATCACACTGCATACACATGAGACAGCTGGTTTTTGTGGTGTTTTCTAAATTAGACACTACAACCATGGGCCAAAAAAATAGAAGTAATTTTTTTTTCATGGTCCGGCACATGGCAAAGGGAGACAACAAAATAACAAATGTATAATGAAATAAAAATAGCTTGTGACATATCAAGAATAGAGGTTATCTGCCCCCACTGTCTGTTGTCTTAGAGACTGTTACATGGTAAGGTCCCGGTCGGCTGTACCACTGTAGCATTTATACACTTTGATATCTCATTATCTGTTAACTCTTTCAGTCCCAAGCAATTGTAACTTTTAACTCCTTCTAACCCAAAATGTTTAGCTTAAATCCAGTGAATAATTTGACCCTAAGGAGTTCAGCATAGACACCATAAGATGTAAAAAGCTAAACTAGTAGTCTTATGACCCAGCATAGGACTGACACTGACGCTGATGAATATGTTGAAGGGGGAATCTGAGCACCTATGGATGTGTCCAGAGTGCTGTGAAGATAATTCAACTCATAACTAATCTAGATAACAATGAATGATATAACACTCTTCTGTGACAGAAGACAACTAGTAAATGACAGTATCTGTGAACTGATCTAGAGACATGTGGTGAGTTGTTTGGGACTGATCTAGAGACATGTGGTGAGTTGTTTGGGACTGAAATAGTTACAGAAGTCAGAGCTGTCATGGGATTGTCTCAGATACTGCAGGGTTACTTTTGTTAACCTATAACTGAAAATACAGTGGTGTAGTAACTAAATGCTCACCTCCAGCCTGAAGATATCAGGTTTCAATCCACAATGAGTTTTGTAAAGATCTTGATTTCTAGGTCAACCCAGCCTAAGTTTGGTACCAGGCAGAGTCCTAGGAAGTAAAGACCGCTAGCATGATGTTGTATCACAGCACCGGCACAGGCAGAGTCCTGGGAAGTAAAGACTGGTAGCATGATGTTGTACCACAGCACCCGCACAGGCAGAGTCCTGGGAAGTAAAGACCGGTAGCATGATGTTGTACCACATCACCCACAGACTGTTCTATAACAAATATGAGTCAAGCCTTATACACCTAATGTGCCCAGTGTATAAACAGGATCCTTTACTTTATTGTAACCACTGTTCTGCCAACAGCACAATTCAGTTCACTTCATGTATTGTAACCACTGTTCTGCTAAACAGCACAATTCAGTTCACTTCATGTATTGTAGCCACTGTTTTGCTAAACAGCACAATTCGTTCAGTTTATGTATTGTAACCACTGTTCTGCTAAACAGCACAATTTGTTCAGTTCCTGTATTGTAACCACTGTTCTGCTAAACAGCACAATTCAGTTCACTTCATGTATTGTAGCCACTGTTCTGCTAAACAGCACAATTCAGTTCACTTCATGTATTGTAACCACTGTTCTGCTAAACAGCACAATTCAGTTCACTTCATGTATTGTAACCACTGTTCTGCTAAACAGCACAATTCAGTTCACTTCATGTATTGTAGCCACTGTTTTGCTAAACAGCACAGCTCGTTCAGTTCATGTATTGTAACCACTGTTCTGCTAAACAGCACAATTTGTTCAGTTCCTGTATTGTAACCACTGTTCTGCTAAACAGCACAATTCAGTTCACTTCATGTATTGTAGCCACTGTTTTGCTAAACAGCACAGCTCGTTCAGTTCATGTATTGTTACCACTGTTCTGCTAAACAGCACAATTCAGTTCACTTCATGTATTGTAACCACTGTTCTGCTTTACAGCACAATTCAGTTCACTTCATGTATTGCAACCACTGTTCTGCTAAACAGCACAATTCATTCAGTTCATGTATTGTAACCACTGTTCTGCTAAACAGCACAATTCAGTTCACTTCATGTATTGCAACCACTGTTCTGCTAAACAGCACAATTCATTCAGTTCATGTATTGTAACCACTGTTCTGCTAAACAGCACAATTCAGTTCACTTCATGTATTGCAACCACTGTTCTGCTAAACAGCACAATTCGTTCAGTTCAGTTCAGGGTCATTGTACTCTGACACATGCACAGGTGATCCACTATCTTCTTCAGTAAAACTCATTGTCATATAACAATTAATTGTTGCCATCAAATTTTCATTGACAAACCTTCTCCACACATATGTAGCTATTCTGGACAAATGTATCTTCCATCCAAATGTTTGCATTGTGACTGTTTATGCTGAAATTCCTAATTTCTGACTGCTTCTGTAATTATGTTCGTGGTGTCAGCTGGTACAGCGGCAGCACCAGCCAGCCTCTCAGTCCTTTCATTGTCCTTAATAATGCTTGTAAATCCGAATGTGAAGATAAATGTGACTACAAACTGTGGATCTCTCCTGGTATTCAATTCAAATTATGTGCATGAAATCTGCATACAACTTTTGGATCATGTTCATGTAATCACCTAATATAGAAAGCAAGCGGATAGATTTGTAACCTAAACCAACAAAATGTTGGTGTTGCTGCTGATAGTGCCATTCCCATTCTTGTGTGATGTAACAAAACATTGCTGGCTGGCTGAACAGTTGTGTGATGTAACAAAACATTGCTGACTGACTGAACAGTTGTGTGATGTAACAAAACATTGCTGGCTGTCTGAACAGTTGTGTAATGTAACAAAACATTGCTGGCTGTCTGAACAGTTGTGTGATGTAACAAAACATTGCTGACTGACTGAACAGTTGTGTGATGTAACAAAACATTGCTGACTGACTGAACAGTTGTGTGATGTAACAAAACATTGCTGGCTGTCTGAACAGTTGTGTGATGTAACAAAACATTGCTGGCTGTCTGAACAGTTGTGTGATGTAACAAAACATTGCTGGCTGTCTGAACTGTCGTGTGATGTAACTAAACATTGCTGACTGACTGAACAGTTGTGTTATGTAACAAAACATTGATGGCTGTCTGAACAGTTGTGTGATGTAACAAAACATTTCTGGCTGTCTGAACAGTTGTGTGATGTAACAAAACATTGCTGGCTGACTGAACAGTTGTGTTATGTAACAAAACATTGATGGCTGACTGAACAGTTGTGTAATGTAACAAAACATTTCTGGCTGTCTGAACAGTTGTGTGATGTAACAAAACATTGCTGGCTGTCTGAACTGTCGTGTGATGTAACTAAACATTGCTGACTGACTGAACAGTTGTGTGATGTAACAAAACATTGCTGACTGACTGAACAGTTGTGTGATGTAACAAAACATGGCTGACTGACTGAACAGTTGTGTGATGTAACAAAACATTGCTGGCTGTCTGAACAGTTGTGTAATGTAACAAAACATTGCTGGCTGTCTGAACAGTTGTGTGATGTAACAAAACATTGCTGACTGACTGAACAGTTGTGTGATGTAACAAAACATTGCTGACTGACTGAACAGTTGTGTGATGTAACAAAACATTGCTGGCTGTCTGAACAGTTGTGTGATGTAACAAAACATTGCTGACTGACTGAACAGTTGTGTGATGTAACAAAACATTGCTGACTGACTGAACAGTTGTGTGATGTAACAAAACATTGCTGACTGACTGAACAGTTGTGTGTTGTAACAAAACATTGCTGGCTGTCTGAACTGTCACGTGATGTAACAAAACATTGCTGACTGACTGAACAGTTGTGTGATGTAACAAAACATTGCTGGCTGACTGAACTGTCATGTGATGTAACAAAACATTGCTGGCTGTCTGAACAGTTGTGTGATGTAACCAAACATTGCTGGCTGCCTGAACACTTGTGGAATGTAACAAAACATTGATGGCTGACTGAACAGTTGTGCAATGTAACAAAACATTGCTGACTGACTGAACAGTTGTGTGATGTAACAAAACATTGCTGACTGACTGAACAGTTGTGTGATGTAACAAAACATTGCTGACTGACTGAACAGTTGTGTGATGTAACAAAACATTGCTGACTGTCTGAACTGTCGTGTGATGTAACAAAACATTGCTGACTGTCTGAACTGTCATGTGATGTAACAAAACATTGCTGACTGTCTGAACTGTCATGTGATGTAACATAACATTGCTGACTGTCTGAAAAGTTTTGTGCCATGTAAGAGTGTGAAGACACACAGTGCCCACTTTTGACACCAAGCAACTAACACTTTGGAGTTGTTCACAAATATGGATCTAACAGCAGATGACAATCAACATGAGAAATAATTTAATGCACTATAGTAAACTGTCCTAATTAGTTATTATTCTTTGGCAAAATCTACAGGAAAGATCGCAGTCAACATCTGTTATGGCCGCCATCATCCTCAGAACTGGATGCTGTATGGAGTCAATGGAGCAGAAATTGTCTTCAACCCTTCAGCGACTGTTGGGGCACTGAGGTCAGTTAGTAGATTAGACTGCTGTCACTGTTGGGGCACTGAGGTCAGTTAGTAGATTAGACTTCTGCCACTGTTGGGACACTGAGGTCAGTTAGTAGATTAGACTTCTGCCACTGTTGGGACACTGAGGTCAGTTAGTAGATTAGACTTCTGCCACTGTTGGGGCACTGAGGTCAGTTAGTAGATTAGACTTCTGCCACTGTTGGGGCACTGAGGTTAGTTAGTAGATTAGACTTCTGCCACTGTTGGGACACTGAGGTCAGTTAGTAGATTAGACTGCTGCCACTGTTGGGGCACTGAGGTCAGTTAGTAGATTAGACTTCTGCCACTGTTGGGGCACTGAGGTTAGTTAGTAGATTAGACTGCTGCCACTGTTGGGACACTGAGGTCAGTTAGTAGATTAGACTTCTGCCACTGTTGGGACACTGAGGTCAGTTAGTAGATTAGACTGCTGCCACTGTTGGGGCACTGAGGTCAGTTAGTAGATTAGACTTCTGCCACTGTTGGGGCACTGAGGTTAGTTAGTAGATTAGACTGCTGCCACTGTTGGGACACTGAGGTCAGTTAGTAGATTAGACTTTTGCCACTGTTGGGACACTGAGGTCAGTTAGTAGATTAGACTGCTGCCACTGTTGGGACACTGAGGTCAGTTGGTAGATTAGACTGCTGCCACTGTTGGGACACTGAGGTCAGTTGGTAGATTAGACTTCTGCCACTGTTGGGACACTGAGGTCAGTTAGTAGATTAGACTGCTGCCACTGTTGGGACACTGAGGTCAGTTAGTAGATTAGACTGCTGCCACTGTTGGGACACTGAGGTCAGTTAGTAGATTAGACTTCTGCTACTAGATACAGGATATGAATAATAAAATCTCAGTCATATATATCATCATCATCAGGTGCCTTGTCGACTGGCGTGGGCGATCATGCCTTTCCATAATCTACAATTTCCTGCACCATGTATCAGTTTGTGTGCCGACACACCTCCATGCCATGCAACAAGACTGTCAAGCATCTTCTCTCGTTGTCTTCCTCTATTCTTCCTTCCACAGATCTTTCCAGTGGTCACAACATGTTTCATTTTCCCTCTTCTCATAACATATATATAAATAAGTCAAACAGAAAGACGTGGGAAATAGTCCTCAATAGCACTCCAGATTATATTCACTGTGTGGGTTCAGGGACCCTATTTGATGGAGGGGGTGGGGGGGGGGGGGGGGGGGGGGGGGGGGTTGGATAGGCCTACTGTCTCCCTAACAAGCATGCTGCATGTTGTAAGAGTCGACTTATTAGGGATTTCCTTCAAAGTTGAAGTGCATCTGCCTGAGAGGCAAGCAGCCAACAGTCTGCATGCAAATAAGCAAGATCTGTAAAACGAATGTGCACTCAAAACTGAAGTTCTAGAACAAGACTAAAATGCAGAAGTGGAAGAACAACCAAAACTTCCTGCTTGAGTTTACAGCTGATGAATGCGATGAAGAACAAGACACCACATAAATATGGGGGAAGGAGAGAAATTGATTTACTTGTGTGTGTTCCAGAGCAGCCTCAGTGTACTTATATTGCAGTTACTATTTTTATTGCAGTGAACCTCTTTGGCCAATAGAAGCTAGAAATGCAGCAATAGCAAACAGCTACTTTACTTGTGCAATCAACAGGGTTGGAACTGTAAGTGTTCTTTTTGTCAAGGCTTAATTAACTTTTATATTTGTCATTTTGATGCATACGTTAACTCTTTGAGTTTCAAGGAACGCATCATACGTTCATGTTGAGTTGAGGAGCTGATTCAAGAACTGACATCACATCACTCGGGGCATTCCCATAAGCACTCCATCCCCATCCTCAGCAGCCAGTGAAGAGTTCCGATACTAATGGTGCCAGTAGTATTCTGATTAAACGTCCATCTTGCCTTTTCTCTGAGCATCAAGCATCTGCCGGAGCTTCTCGTCACTCCCTGCTGCATCAATCTCACCAGACTGTGGTGATCCATCTGCTACCCCGAACTGTACACGCTCTCCCACAAGGCACTAACTATTCATGTGTTTATGTTACGTTAATGTCTTCTTACCTACAAGCCCAATGAATGCGAGATGCGCAGATTTTATGTCTCTCTTGACTACTCTTTGGGCCCATGATGCTAAATCCCCTGGGACTCAAAGAGTTGGAAAAAATACTTGCTACAGCCCCATGAGTTTTAGCAGAAATTATTAGTTGTGAAGATTTTGTTTTGTAAAATTTTTTTTAAATTTCTTCAACATTTCATTGATACAATTGTTGGTGACTGCTTGTAAAGGGTTTTGCAGACAATAATAACAGTCACTTGCCAATGTTTCCTCAGTATCTTAGACTGTCCTCATAATGGACTTAGAAGACCAAGATTATTCCACTTCTTGACCACACAGAAATTTTCCACCTAGATAGCCATTTACTGTGGCAGTGTAAGGGCAGGCAGTGTCATTTATTGGTGAAGAAAGTTTGTATAATGTCAGATTTTCTCTCATGGTCTCCATGGTAAACATGGCCTTTGGTAATGAGCATATCACATAACAGACTTTTTATATGAAAGACATTTGAACCAGTGTTGATATTTACTAGATTCTTGATCAGTGGACATTTGAACCAATGTTGATATTTACTAGATTCTTGATCAGTGGACATTTGAACCAATGTTGATATTTACTAGATTCTTAATCAGTGGACATTTGAACCAATGTTGATATTTACTAGATTCTTGATCAGTGGACATTTGAACCAATGATGATATTTACTAGATTCTTGATCAGTGGACATTTGAACCAAAAATTGTCTTTTAGTAGGAATCACAATCAGTGGACTTTAGAACCCATTGACTAAATGCGTCTTGTCTTGGACTTCATCATCCATGCAGTCCATGCACTGGTGGTAGGCTGAGTAACAGAGGTTTTCCACTTTGTGAGTTCTAAACATTGCATCTCTGTGGGCCATCCACTTCTGAGTAACCACACCAGTTTGGTTTAAGCCCATGATGGGCATTTTCTGTAGCGGATGATTATAATATACGGCACGTCTTGCATGAGGTTCCATACAAATCAACACTCAGCCCGCTGGTACGTCAGGTGAGATACAAAGTATTCCTTCATGAACAGCACCATGGTCTTGACTTTCCCTCATACCTGTGACCAAATGCAATGCATCATAACGGGGTTTACACAGTGCACTTTAAAGCCAACCGTGCAGTTTTAGGAAGTAGTTAATGTTTCAATACAATTACTAGCCTTACTAACAGAGATACTTTCCCAGTGTACATATATTAATAATTGCTTCATTTTTTTTTTTAGGAAGTCTTTGCAAGTGAATTCACTTCAGGTGATGGAAAACCAGGTAACTGCCATTTAGAATACATACTGAATGTGAAGATACTTACCTGTACAACTGAAGTCTTAGAACATTTGTAAATGTTTTTTTTTTTGGTTCTACAAAATATGTTAATTTATGTTAAGTAGATGATGCTTCATTCCTAGTGTATGACTGAATCAAGAAATGACATCACTGCAATTCCATACACCTCCCTGTCCCTTTTCTCATAGCCAGTCCAAGTTCTCATACTGATGATGCTGGCTGCAATCTGATTAAAAAGTCTGTGACAATTGTTACAGTTAGTTTCTGCATCATTGACCTTCAACAACCTTATGTTCTACTATTACCCTCTACTCTGCTTATACACTTTCTTATTTGTTCTACCTATAAGTCTTGGCCCAGTCTTTTCCCAAGACAAGAGGTGGCTTGAAAGCAGTGTCCCTAGTAGATGTTATTTTTTCCACATCTTGTGAGATTCATTTTCTTAGAGTATTCCAGTTATTTTATGACAGCCGCATGCTGTTTACTCAATCTTCTGTTAGCATAAAAATTCCAACTCAAGCAGGGAATGAGGTGACCTTTTGTTGTCAGAAGTGAGGCATGTGCATGCCTTATGACCATATGACGCCTGACTCGATAGCTAGTAGGTTAAACCAGCTGTGTGGCGACCGGGTGACAAACTCCTTGTGGTCCGAATTCACGCACGGGGGTAGGCAGAAAAGCCACATTCTTGCCAGATTTAAAGTATCTATTATGGATTCAAGGCCGAAGGGTTCCAATATCCATAGTACTGATCCAAAAAAAATAATAATAATAATGACCATATGACAGGGCTGAGATGTATTGTCCTAGTTATAGAAATTTAAAATTGCATGTTCAATTTCTTTGTTATAATTATATAAGAAAGATAAATATATATTACTAAATCAAACCATTGAAGAAGAATGTTTCAAAGACAGAATCATGTGTCGGAAACTTGAATACTTTAGCCACCACAGGGGCTTAGAAAAATGGTAATAGAAGGCAGAGGTTCTGGATAAGGATGCAGGGATTTACCAGCTCATAGTGTGGATGTAGATACTTACAGACACTTATAGACACTTACAGACACTTATAGACACTTACAGACACTTACAGACACGTATAGACACTTACAGACACTTATAGACCCTGTGGGCATTAAAATGTTCTTTTGATGACAGCTGCATGCTGTGAGGGACATGCTATAAAAACATGGACATTAGTTTAGTTCAGTAATGGAGACACTCATAAGAATGAATATCTTAGATCTTCTTTTTTTGTGTTACAGCAGTTTGTTACATCTTTTACATTTCTGTTCTATTTCCAATATAGCTCACAGAGATCTAGGACATTTCTATGGTAAGTTGACTTTTGTATTGTCTTTTGTTTTACTGATTGATGACTTCAGGATGTGTTCAAAAGCTTATATCTTGATTTTTACAGCAGCAGACAATTTTGCCTGATGGAGTATTATTCTTTGTGTGCAGTTATTTTTACATTTGTTTCTGTGTTTCATCTCAATCTGAATTGCTGGAATAATGCATGAATATTTCCACACTAACTCATCATATTTCCACTAATTCATTACATTTTATTATGTAACAGTAGATAATTACCAACAGTAGTTATAAGACAGAGAAAATGGTGCTAAACTGGACACATCCTGAGAACACGGAGAATCACCAAACACACATTAAAATGGGAAATAAAAGGATTAAGAAGTGAGGATTCCACCCCCCCCCCCCCCCCCCCCCCCCCCCCAAAAAAAATGAACGTTGATGAGAGAGGCCACAAGTACTGGACTGGATTCCATCCTGACTGCACAGGATAGACAGGATAGACAGGCAGGATAGACAGGATAGGATAGACAGACAGGATAGACAGGATAGGATAGACAGGATAGACAGGATAGACAGGATAGGATAGACAGGATAGGCAGGATAGACAGGATAGACAGGATAGGATAGACAGGATAGACAGGCAGGATAGACAGGATAGGATAGACAGGATAGACAGGATAGACCAGACAGGATAGACAGGAATGGATAGAGTGTGAGTACTATGTGATATATAATGGCGCAACAGGAAAATGCATGAAGAATTAATGAATGAATTCATCACACGTCTTTCACTCATTATGCACTGAATCTAAACCTTAATTTACTCTTTTTCTACCCTTTATTCTCCCAACCCAGATCTTTTCTAGACTGTTCATGCTTGGATATCTAGACTCTTGATGCTTGGATTTGCAGCTAAAGATTTCAACTGGATTGAAATAACCACTGTCATGACAGCCCTTCTTAGATACTTCTATTTTCATGCAGGGCAGGTTGCAGGGTTATCATTCTGAGCTCCTGTCTGTGTCTCAGGGGCAAGTGGGTGGTCCTCAACTTAGGCTGCACAGATTATAATTGTAGCTTCCCATCTGACTGTACTCATGTCATACTATTTCTGCTGGTTATAATTGTAGCTTCCCATCTGACTGTACTCATGTCATACTATTTCTGCTGGTTATAGTTGTAGCTTCCCATCTGACTGTACTCATGTCATACTATTTCTGCTGGTTATAGTTGTAGCTTCCCATCTGACTGTACTTATGTCATACTATTTCTGCTGGTTATAGTTGTAGCTTCCCATCTGACTGTACTCATGTCATACTATTTCTGCTGGTTATAATCGTAGCTTCCCATCTGACTGTACTCATGTCATACTATTTCTGCAGGTTATAATTGTAGCTTCCCATCTGACTGTACTCATGTCATACTATTTCTGCTGGTTATAATTGTAGCTTCCCATCTGACTGTACTCATGTCATACTAGTTCTGCTGGTTATCATTGTAGCTTCCCATCTGTGACTGTACTCATGTCATACTAGTTCTGTTCTGACAATTGCTTTAGCTGGTGTAAGACGATGGGAAGTCAATAAGTAAGTCACAAATGGTTATGGGATAGCAGGAAAGTGTAGGTAGTGGTTTCTAAAGGTGTCATTAGGTGATAGCAACATCGACCCTTATGTCTCCGTTTCGTTAGGTGGCGCTAGGTGTTGCATGCGCATTCGCAGCACAGAAACAAAATGGCGACTGTACCTATAAAGTGTACCCTAAAAAAAACAAAGTGCTGTGTGCGTTTTATTTGGAAAAAGAGCTGCCTGCAAGACATTCATAATTAAATGCTTCCTCATTATGTTGACAAATGTTTATCCTGTACAGCTGTGCATAGCTGGGTTTAAAAAAAAAAAATTCCCAATGAAACATCTTTCTTCGCCTTGTGTTTAAAAATTCAAGGTTACGTTATCGGCAGGGGAGGTTATGCTGACAGTGTTCTGGGATTGTCAAGGAGAGCTTTTAACAAATTTCAAAATAAGAGGTGACAATATGAATGCTGATTCATACTGTAGAGTGATATCGATGTTTCATGACGCAGTTTCAAGAAAACACCCAGGACTGCTAACAAGAGGAGTATTGCTCCTTCATGATAATGTCAGACCATATAGGGCTCGATTAACTTAGAAGAAAATTAACGATCTAGGGTGGAAACTTCTGGAACATCCACCTTACAGCCGCAACTTAGCTCCTAGTGATTTCCACTTTTTTGGTCCACTAAAAGCCCACCTTGATGGGTGACATTCGCGAATGATGCAGAAGTTGAATGTGGTTAGAAAATAGCACACAGTTCTATGCAGCAGGTCTGGAAAGGCTGATAAAATGATGGGACAGGTGTATCAAAGATGGTGGAAATTATGTTGCAAAATAAAGGAACAGTATGTGTAAAAATAAACAGTTTTCAAGTTCTTGTAGATTTCTTTTTTAACTTATTGACTTCCCCTCGTAGTAACTTTAAATTTATTAATTATATTTCATTATGTAAACGTTATAATGTTTTTAAATGTTGTGTGATTTAAATGCCTTCAAATATCTATTGAAGTCATGAATAACACTGCCACTGTAAACTTTAGAACTCAAATAAGTATTTCTGCCTCATATAATTTTGACTTTGACACACAGAGCTAATGAAATATTTGGCTTTCAGATGGAAATTCAATGTAGGGTATTTAAAAACTACTGAATCACTTTGTTATATGTTATACAGGTTCCAGTTATGTCACAGCTCCAGATGGAAGCAGGACTCCTGTGAGTAGTGACATTATTTCTCAATAAATTGTTTTTTTATTAAAACCTGATACAACTCAAGACACAAAATCCACAGCATCTATTGTTTTGTTAATTAATTACATCACTCCACTGATGAATAATTAATGTAGTTATAAAATAAAGACACACAGAGACATGATAAAGTTGTATTGAACAAATTCATAGTATATGATCAGGAAGGTATGCAGACAATTTCACATAGATAACTTTTGTTGATAATGGATGAATGATTTGGTGGGCAGTGTTTTATATTATTATATTTTTTCTAAAGGGACTTTCAAGAACTAAAGATGGAATAGTAATTGCCGAGGTTGACCTAAATCTTTGCAGACAAGTCAAGGACAAGTGGGGATTTAGGGTAAGATATTGAACAATTGATGTAGTGTGATATAGACAATACAGTGAAGTTGATAAATTTTTTCGCCACACAAATTGTTAATAATCCTATTGACAGCTACAATCCATATTTATTATCCATTTATGCACAACTGAATAATAATTCAGAGAATTCTGAATGCTGATACAGTTGGGAACAATGAAAGAGTGTGACGATATTCGGGAAAAAAAGATAAAGAGGAGCATAAAACACAGGTGGGGATACAGTCTCAAAACATGCAGAACTGGCCCTAACTACCCCCCTCCTCCCAGGTCCCACGAGAGAGTGCAACCATCCGACGACTGCATGTAGCCTATAATATACACTGCGTACAGTCATGCATCCTAGGCTGCATGTAGTCGTGGGATGTAGACTGCACTCTCTTGTGGGATGTAGAGAGGTTAGGGCCAGTTACGTATGTTTTGGGACCGTTAAAAGCACTCACAATCTAGAATATACAACACGCAATATCACAGGCCGATGACAACAAGTAAAATGCTGTGTGCTGGTAACCGGTCACTAAGCATGACATCCCCGCAACATAGGACAAGCCTTGCAACACAGCAGTTTATGAATGGCAAGGGAAGTCATTCTCTTCCTAGGCTGGAAAACATGAGCAGGACCCAAGGCAGACTCCTGGGAAGTAAAGGCAGTGGTGTGATGCTGACCAGATCACTCACCTAGTGCTGATTGGACATAAGTCTAGTCCTATATGCTTGACTGCATGGAAAAGGATCTTTTACATTTGTACTGACTTATGTCTTTCTTATCTTTTCATTTCCTCATATTCTTCACCCCACTACAACTAATAAGTGGACAATCATAACAGAGATGAGATGTCACATGGGAATTGCTGGGGTAAACAAAGCAGACATACAAATGAAAATGAAGAAACTAGAAAAAAGACTAGAACTAAACCCAGTCAAATCATTCATTGAAAAACAGCAGAGGAGATGGTTTGGTCATCTGACAAGAATACTTCAGTTACCTGCTACCTCAGAGAGCCATCATCATCATGTAGCAGGTCCTTTGCAGATCGTCGATCTCATCCCAGTCTGCCAATTCTCTTGCCTCATGTACTTTCATACTCAAGGAGTCACTTATATTCTGTGCCCATCTTCATGTAGGTCGGCCCCTGTCTCTCCTTCCTTGTACCATGCCTTCTGCTATAATTTTTTTCAATTCGGCGTGGCGCTTGATATGACCAAAATATTTCAGTTTTCGAGAAAGGATGCTGTTTATTAGCCAATCTCCTTGATGTTCAGATCTTTCAAGATGTCAATATTTCTCCTCTTTTTCAACCAAGATATTTTGAGAATGTTTCTATAGCATTTCAGCTCAAGAGCCCCTATTCTCTTTCTCAAGGACTGAGAGATAGTCCACGACTCACATCCGTATGTAGCCACAGGGAAGATGCATGCTCTCAAAATTCTAATTGTTATCTCCTTGCTTGTGCTTAACAATAGACTTTTAAGGCTGTTCAATCTTTGCATTGCTATGGCCATCCTCCTTTTAATTTCTGTTGAACAATCTCCATTGTTGTTTATTATAGAGCCTAGATATTCAAAGTTTGTGACATTTTCAATTTCTTCATCATTTATTGTTATTTTTGGGTGACAGCCAGCTTTATCTGTGGACACTATTTTCGTTTTCTCTTAATTCAAGAACAGATTTTGATCTTCCTTGTGCTTTTGGACAGACAAAATTAAGTTTTCTATTCCCTTTATGCTGTTCAAAAGGAGGACTGTGTCGTCTGCATATCGAAGTTCCGGAGTAGGGTTGCCACCAATTTTGAGCGAATCGTAACTGTCACAAGTCTGGTCATTTTTTACATGTCTCATTATATTTTCTGCGTAGATATTGAATAGGTATGGTGAGAGAATGTGAGGACTGAAACCAGTCATATCATTCATTGAAAAACGACAGAGGAGATGGTTTGGCCATCTGACAAGAATACCTCAGTTACCTGCTACTTCAGAGAGCCAAGCAAAAGAAATATAACAAACACAGAGCAAGGAGAAATCCATGCAACAGATCTATTAACATCATCAAGAACATCCTTAGAGGGGGAAAAGACAGATTGACACTGCATGCTAGAAAGAACACACTGAGAATCCTTGCATCGCTCTCCAAGACATCACCTGGGTCGCCAAAGAAAGAGAAAAAAAAAAGAATATCACTAAGGTCTGGGGAACGTTCAGATCATTGTAAAACTTCTTTCAGTTATCAGCCCCTACTTAACTACACAACAATTTCTGTACAGAGAAAAGATCATTGTAATACTTCTTTCAGTTATCAGCCCCTACTTAACTACACAACAATTTCTTTACAGAGAAAAGCATGGTTTTGTGTGTGTTTTTTGTGTGTGTTTATTTTAATTTATGAAGTATTTATTATGCTATTGTTAAAGGCCTGACTAAGACTATTTCAATGCATATTTGTAAGCATTTAAGAGTTTTTGAATTTTCATTCTTTTCTTTCTGTTTCAAGATGACCCAGAGACTGGAACTGTATGCCAAAGAGTTAAATGAAGTATTAAAGCAAGATTGGAAACCTGATGTCATCACAGAGTAATTCATGTCTGTTTCTATTGATAGGGTTGTTCTAAATAAAGTGACATCAGGATGTGAGAGGAAACCCACACATTTCAAATAATGTGTTCAGTCATTGTAACTTGTTCTTTCTCTTATGTTTTTTGTAACATTGCAATTCCAGATGTGTTTTTTCTTTCTCGAGAACTATCCATCAAATGTTATCTTTGAAGTGAAGACTAACTGTAATAGACTTTACTTTTCATATCTTACTCAGGAGAATCACATTCATATTTGTTCATTTCTTGACTGTCCCATGTGTATTATTTAACTTATTTAGATTTATCTATCCAGGCTGTTTTAATAAGAGTGTTACTTCTTTAATGTGGACAAAATACACTTATTTATGTTTTTTAACTCTACCAGACCATTGTACCGCTTTTCCTATAATTTCCTAATCTGTAGCTAAACCATTGTGTCTAATTTTTGGTAATTTGCGTACTACGTGAAAAAATGTGACACAAACTAAAAATATCCAAACAATCGTGGTCAAACCTCATTGTTAGTGATTACAAATGGCTGCCCCCATGTGTTTGGATTTACTTTGTGTGGTTTAAGCTAAACAGATTCAGAAAATTCACAATGAAACGAGCAGCTGATGAACTGAGCACTTTGACAGGAAAGCAAAGTAGATCTAGGCTTTTCACAGTCCAACAGGTGATCCATACTTTAGTTGATTAAGACTCTGAGAAGTCAGAATTTCATCAAGCATACGTTCCCAGTTGAAGTGACAGGAGAGCTCCAGTGATGAGGAGAATCTTGAACCTTATAGATATGGAACTAGATTGATAGTAAGAAGCAATGAAGATTGGAAAAATACACACAGATAACAAGAGTTGTTCAGTTCTGCTTAAGTGATTCTATGAGAAGGATAGCTGATATCTAAGATAAACAAAAGTAATTTTGAGTGCTACTGTATGTATAGCTGATTGTAAGAAAATATAAATTTTGATCATCACCAAAATGAAAGAAATATCAAAGTGAAAAATAAACTTAAATGAAAAAATTATGAATCAAGTGAATAGATACAACTTTTTAGGAACAATCATAACAAGGAGTAGTGTTACTGCTGTTGTTGTCTAGAGTATACTTGTATACTCACAGAGTAGTGTTACTGCTATTGTTGTCTAGAGTGTACTCACAGAGTAGTGTTACTGCTATTGTTGTCTAGAGTATACTCACAGAGTAGTGTTACTGCTGTTGTTGTCTAGAGTGTACTCACAGAGTAGTGTTACTGCTATTGTTGTCTAGAGTGTACTCACAGACTAGTGTTACTGCTGTTGTTGTCTAGAGTGTACTTGTATACTCACAGAGTAATGTTACTGCTATTATTGTCTAGAGTATACTCACAGACTAGTGTTACTGCTATTGTCGTCTAGAGTGTACTCACAGAGTAGTGTTACTACTATTGTTGTCTAGAGTGTACTCACAGACTAGTGTTACTGCTATTGTTGTCTAGAGTGTACTCACAGACTAGTGTTACTGCTATTGTTGTCTAGAGTGTACTCACAGACTAGTGTTACTGCTATTGTTGTCTAGAGTGTACTCACAGACTAGTGTTACTGCTATTATTGTCTAGAGTGTACTCACAGACTAGTGTTACTGCTATTGTTGTCTAGAGTGTACTCACAGACTAGTGTTACTGCTATTGTTGTCTAGAGTGTACTCACAGACTAGTGTTACTGCTATTGTTGTCTAGAGTGTACTCACAGACTAGTGTTACTGCTATTGTTGTCTAGAGTGTACTCACCGACTAGTGTTACTGCTATTGTTGTCTAGAGTGTGCTCACAGACTAGTGTTACTGCTGTTGTTGTTTAGAGTGTACTCACAGAGTAGTGTTACTGCTATTGTTGTCTAGAGTGTACTCACAGACTAGTGTTACTGCTGTTGTTGTTTAGAGTGTACTCACAGACTAGTGTTACTGCTGTTGTTGTCTAGAGTGTACTCACAGACTAGTGTTACTGCTGTTGTTGTCTAGAGTATACTCAAAGACTAGTGTTACTGCTATTGTTGTCTAGAGTGTACTCACAGACTAGTGTTACTGCTGTTGTTGTTTAGAGTGTACTCACAGAGTAGTGTTACTGCTATTGTTGTCTAGAGTATACTCACAGACTAGTGTTACTGCTATTGTTGCCTAGAGTATACTCACAGAGTAGTGTTACTGCTGTTGTTGTCTAGAGTATACTCACAGACTAGTGTTACTGCTGTTGTTGTTTAGAGTGTACTCACAGAGTAGTGTTACTGCTATTGTTGTCTAGAGTGTACTCACAGACTAGTGTTACTGCTATTGTTGTCTAGAGTGTACTCATAGACTAGTGTTACTGCTATTGTTGTCTAGAGTATACTCACAGAGTAGTGTTACTGCTGTTGTTGTCTAGAGTATACTCACAGACTAGTGTTACTGCTGTTGTTGTTTAGAGTGTACTCACAGAGTAGTGTTACTGCTATTGTTGTCTAGAGTGTACTCACAGACTAGTGTTACTGCTGTTGTTGTTTAGAGTGTACTCACAGAGTAGGGTTACTGCTATTATTGTCTAGAGTGTACTTGTATACTCACAGACTAGTGTTACTGCTATTGTTGTCTAGAGTGTACTCACAGAGTAGGGTTACTGCTATTGTTGTCTAGAGTGTACTCACAGAGTAGTGTTACTGCTGTTGTTGTCTAGAGTGTACTCACAGACTAGTGTTACTGCTATTGTTGTCTAGAGTGTACTCACAGAGTAGTGTTACTGCTATTGTTGTCTAGAGTGTACTCACAGAGTAGTGTTACTGCTATTGTTGTCTAGAGTGTACTCACAGACTAGTGTTACTGCTATTGTTGTCTAGAGTATACTCACTAGTGTTACTGCTATTGTTGTCTAGAGTATACTCACAGACTAGTGTTACTGCTATTGTTGTCTAGAGTATACTCACAGACTAGTGTTACTGCTATTGTTGTCTAGAGTGTACTCACAGAGTAGTGTTACTGCTATTGTTGTCTAGAGTGTACTCACAGACTAGTGTTACTGCTATTGTTGTCTAGAGTATACTCACAGACTAGTGTTACTGCTATTGTTGTCTAGAGTATACTCACAGAGTAGTGTTACTGCTATTGTTGTCTAGAGTGTACTCATAGAGTAGTGTTACTGCTGTTGTTGTCTAGAGTGTACTCACAGAGTAGTGTTACTGCTGTTGTTGTCTAGAGTGTACTCACAGAGTGGTGTTACTGCTATTGTTGTCTAGAGTGTACTCACAGACTGGTGTTACTGCTGTTGTTGTCTAGAGTGTACTCACAGACTGGTGTTACTGCTATTGTTGTCTAGCCCCAAGCTGGCGGCTACTGAGATGTTGTGTCTATAACCTGACAATCTGACCAACAACTGAGAGGATGTCATGAGGAAAAACAGTCAAGGATTCTTTGGTTCATTAGTAGTCATAGTTGGAATTACAAGGATTTGTTTATGAGCATTGTGTAACTCTATGGTGAGAGGTAAGTGAATCTTTTCCTTCAGCAATGCGAGCCCTTGAGGTTCCTTGCCACCTCCATTCATTTCTCTAGATGGTCTTCTCCTTCCATCTGGTAACACCAAGTGTTTGTGTACAAGGTTAGAAGTCTTTCCATCTGGTAACACTAAGTGTTTGTGTACAAGGTTAGAAGTCTTTCCATCTGGTAACACCAAGTGTTTGTGTACAAGGTTAGAAGTTAGAAAATGTGTTTTATAATTTTTAAGTACTATGGTGTAATTTCTGCAATGGTCATTTCCAAAGAAAAACAAGAATGTTCTAGTGGCTTTCATACAGTGCTATTGGGGCCTCACTACAAAATTCCCAAAGACGACAGTGGCTGCCCTGTAGCCGACCTTCACTGTGGAGATGGCACCAGAACCAGCATCTGAAGTATAGTTATCTTTAACTGATCAGAGATTTTAAAAACCTACCCATAAGTCTCTTTTGGTCCCCCATCTCAAGCACAATTTGGCAGATCGGAAGCTATGTCAAGAATACCTGCCTGCGGTCATATGTTTAAATCCCTGTCTAAGCAGAAGCAGAGATTTTTATTTTTATTTTTTTGGGATAAACCCACAGTAATAGACTTGACAGAGGAAAAACAAAAGACTCCAACATGCCAAAACCCTGATATCAACTGACCCCAATCTTCCAAACATCTAGATATTGCAGCACTTTAGTCTTCTTTATTCTAACTTTAGATTACCAGTGTCAGACTTGGGAGAACACAAGAGAAAATTAACCACCAGTGAAATTAGACGTTTCAGAAAGGCTTCGAACAAAATCAGAATATATTGTGTGAAAAATGAGATTAGAAAACTATTCAAACCATAACCATCATTAAATTTATTAGAAAGCAAAGATGGAAATGGTTTGGCCACCTAATGAGGATGAATCCCATGATGCTGGCAGTGACAGCTTACAGCAATAAAAAGAAATCACAAAGAGGCAGAAGAAGACCTAGACGATGAACTGAAGGAGTTAATGACACCCTAAGACTTTACAACATCACAGCATACATAGCAACTGAGTACACCTTATCTAAGCAACTTATCATCTAGTCAAATGAGTACACCTTATCTAAGCAACTTATCATCTAGTCAAATGAGTACACCTTATCTAAGCAACTTATCATCTAGTCAAATAAGTACACCTTGTCTGAGCAACTTATCATCTGGTCAACTGAGTACACTTTGTCTTAGCAATGTATCATCTAGTCAAATGAGTACACCTTGTCTGAGCAACTTATCATCTCGTCAACTGAGTACAACTTGTCTGAGCAACGTATCATCTAGTCAAATGCAGAGCCGAGTGGCACAAAGCAGATATGATACAAGAGAAAAGAAGATTGTACTGGTTTATTATGCAGATCTCAGGGTGAATATTCAGTGGCCCTCTTGTTCAGCAGATTCTTTACACTGACAATGAGTACTGACAGATCTACGATATTATGACCAGATCAGCAATTATATTCTATGCATGTGGATCAGTCCCTA